TGTAGTGATGACATTTGTTACAACTGCAGAATATACCTGTTAGGAAAAATTAATTCAATAGCCCAATTTTTGGCAGAAGACATTATTTTACGCGAACGAAGTCACGGCTAACAGCTAGTTATTGATAATTATAAAATTATGAATACCTAACTAATTTGAAATCGATGAAAATGTAGTAGGTATATGTATGTACTACCATTTTCTTTATTTTGAATTCTTATACAAAAATATCTTAAGGGTTATATTTCATTGGGACACCATGGCGGTGCAACCACTCGCCGCTACCAACAAAATGTATAAGCTGGTTGCGCTACCAAGCGGACACCAAGCGAGTAACTCTCTATAGAAGAGCTGTAACGTATAATAGGTTTAGATGGTAGCCGCGCCATGGTGTCCCGATGTAAAATATAACTAACTTTGAAATCATAGCATGAAAAAATGTGTTGGTATGATGAAAATAGGCCTTAATAATGTACGTAAGAACTTATTACATCTAAAATTCTTTTCTATGAAAAGCGCATTCCTTAGTACATAATTTAGCGTTCTAAGTACGGTACTTTACCGCTTAATGTACGGCGTTATGGTTCATAAGTAGTTACGTCATAGTAAAGTTGTCAAACATTATGTAAAAGGCAAATCTGTTTACTTGTTTTAATAAAACCAACACGACCAAGTATTGCGAATAATTGCTATTCAATTCTCCAAGCTTTCTGTGTGATATACATTTCTATAACATTGACTATACCATTCAGCTCCATGTGAAAACCTGGCTAAAGAGCCAGATAGCTGAAGACTAAAGTGAATTATGAATGACTAACATCACAGCCACATCACAGCAAATACCATTAAAGAAGAAATAGTCAGTACTGGAAAAAGAAACTTCTTACATAACATAACATAACGCCTTTTATCCTCGAAGGCGTAGGCAGAGGTGTACATTACGTACACCCACTTTTCACTATTCTTATTATGAGTCCCATGTACTAGGGGTTGAGCCTATTGCCATATACCGGGCACATTTCCAAACTACGTGGTACTACTGACAATTTTAAACCACAGAAAACCCAGTAGTACTTTGCCCGATCTGGGAATCGAACCCTAGGCCCCTTGCCCGGGCAGTCGCACTTGCGACCACTCGGCCAACGAGGCAACGAGTTATTCTCGTTGTTATAACACTAAAATATATTAAAGAACCAAAAACTGCTAGATACTTACCTACAGTTTAATACTGACCTTAGAGTACTCCCCGTAGAAGAAAATTAAAACAATTTGTAACAGTTCCTACATTAATAATTATGTTTTCAGCTTACTCACGTAATAGGGTAGATGACTAATTTTTATTTTAATGTCCGTCTGGTAGATTATTTAAAAACATTAGACACGTATTTTTTATTTTCTTACGGAAATGAATAGTTTCGAAGATATATTGATTTGAAATTATAATACAGTTGCCTACATTTCCCTAGACATAGTTGTTATTGTCTAACAGCCTAATGTTGTTGTGAGAAGCAACCAATATTGCTTTCAGAATACATAATAATCAATGAGTACGAAGGACTAGTTCGGTTCACATATTATACAAATGACAACATCATTTTACTACATATTTGTGTCTAGAGAACATTGTTTTAGAATGACTAAACTATTACAGACAATCATAGGTACTTACACAATATTTGTATCATAGTTTACATTGTCAGTTCCTTTTCATAAACATATCGTAAAATAAGCAGCAGTTGGTGAGATTTAATTCCCTAAAGACTGACTTAGAGCCTCTTTTTGAGGGGGATAATCATCCAATGTCTTCTCCCGCCTTGGGTTAGGCTTAGGCAAGAGGAAGTGTCAGACTCTTACTGACTAAAAACCACTCCCTTCCTACTCTTGCTTCTCGAGCCGGATTCCCGGCAACCTGTTAGGCATTCCGTGGCTCCGTATCGGGCGACCCTACTGGGCCCCATCTGTGGTGGTCTGATAGCTCTTTGAGGCACAGAGGTCTGGGGACTAGAAAGTAAAAAAAAATATAGGTATTATACAATAATATGTATTAAATAATTAACCCTTAAATCCCAGCAGAAAACTACTGCAAACAAATCCTCATATAATCCGATTACAATTGGCCTTTACAATGTTTATGGTATTAAGGAGACGTACGACTTACGAGTTTTGGTTATAAAGCGACGAAACTAAGTTGTACTTTGGGATCTAGTTACTTTCGTCTCTTCTTCCATAAGACCACCATAAATGGGCATTAGCCCTATTGGGCTATTGCCCTATTGCTATCAGCCCTATTGGGCTGATGCTGATACAGAACCGCGGAGGACTTAACGGGTTGCCGGGGTCTCCGGCTCGAAGGGCAGAAGTAGGAACGGGGTGACAGTTTTTAGTCATTAAGAGTCTGCCACTCACTATCGCCTCACCCGAGCAATAGAAGACATTGGATGATCCCCTTAAAAATAAGAACAACTAAGGTTAGGAATTTGGAAACATACTATTTTCAATACAGTGTTGCAGTATAAATATTTTCTCATGACTATTATAGGCACTTGCATATATCGATAAACAATATTAAAGCTTCTATGACAAAGTTAAAGCATTGACGTAATAAGATCTCCGAGATGTGACCACAGAAACCGCAGTTAGTGCACTTTATATTAAACAAACAAGTGAACAGAATTTATTCACAGCATTTTAGTGTCGCTTTAAGGAAATATTTAATTATAAATTAAAAAGTAGGTAACTGGATAAATCTTAACGTATAAAATGAATATATTCTAAACTTGGCTTCAAAAATATCTATGTATTTTCACCAAATTTCTGAACTAATACCTCTAAATATAATTAATATAATGCCTATGTATGTGCCCTTGTGCTCAAAAATCACACACGATACTATTTGGCCATCAATCCAATCACATTTGAAAATTATAATAATTAATTTTAAACAATGCGAATTGTAGACTACGTGGCTAGTTAGCCCGCAGTGGAATGCTTTTTATAATTTTTTTTCAAAATGTTACTTTTGGACAGCGTTACAATTAGGCACTGAATTAAATGACGGAAACAATATAAAAAAGGAAGGTAATTCAAGAGTGAACAAAAATAAGATCCTAAAGAACCAGTTTCATTAAAAAGCGATTTCCGGTGGGCTACACACCGGTAGCCGTACTTACGCAACACAAGATTACAGGCAGGCTAAGATAATACCAATACTCTATATTATTAAGAAAAAAACACTTTCCATGGCAAAGGCGTTAATTTTTTATAATAACCATGTGTGTAACGAAGTATGGAGGCTTTCTCTCATGCGTCGGTCATGGACTCCTTTTGGCCGTACTTAGTTAAAGCCCGTCACGCTCCATGTACAGGAATCATGAATGAACAAATTGAATCCACTCCGATTTGTACAACTAAACTTTCTTAGTCACTATGAATATTTATTGACCAACCAAAGAAAGTCATTTAACACCTACTCGTGTCTGAAAGACCTTTTTTTAAATAAATTAACATTTGCTATTTTAAAGAAGTTTCTACAACTTGTAATACTTAATTTGAATACTCCGTGTCTTCTATTAAACCACCGATTCATTCATGAGATAAGACATTCAATCTAAATGGTTTAAGAAATCTATAAAATTTTATTTTATGCGCCAACTAGCAATAAGGTTTTCAATTTAGTTGATGACCAAAACTGCACTAAAAGTTCATTAATCGTGATGATGTGTGTAGAAAGGTCAGTTGCCGATAGTAGTGTAACATCGCTTCACACAATAGTCATTGGCCTTCGCACCCGTCTCGCTGGATGCCCCTTTTGTTTCAGAGCTTGTGAGCCTGACGGGACGCCGGTTTTGCCGCCAAAATACGTCAACGACACCCAATTCATACGTTACCATCCGGCACGGGTCGCGAGGTCACATTTTAATTGTTTTTACATAATTGTTTCGCAAATCCAGTGTGTGTGAATAACCCTAGTGGATCAAGCTATTCAATTTAATAATGCCAGCTGTCGTAACATCTTCAGCGCTAATCACACATTATTTAGTTGACGGTTAATAACTCGGTCTAAACAATAGATGTTACATTACAACAATGAGAGGAATATAACCTTGTTATTTTACTTTTACAAGTGAATCAGTGAATGTTATATAAATGAAAGCCTGTGAAATATACCGCTGCTTAAACATATCCTGTAAAATAATGTCATACGTCTTTCACTATTATAACAACAAATAAATCAACTAAAAACACATTCACATAAAAAATAAAAAAAGGAATTGTAAGTATCTTTAGCATCTAGATCAGAAAAGATTGCTTCGAAAGCAGGCGAATCTCTTTAGTTAAGCAAGATTATGTGCCAACGGCAGCAATACTTAGGCAGTACAAGACAATGAGATACGGGCAGTTAGCAAATGCTCACCGTCGACTTCGTCGCCACGCGCTAGTTCCCGTACGAAGATACTAAGTAAAGATAACCCACTGACACAAGGGATTCACAGCTGTGATGAGAAAGAAAAAGTTTTCTTGTGATCGACTTTAGCGTCTATTCTATCGTAGTTCTGTACTCACTATCTCTCCATGCTGCAGCTGCGGCATCAAAGACCTTACCAAGACCTTAGTTACGAAAGCTCGGTTAGAAAAGGGATTCTGGTCAAGGAATGAAAAAAGCTAGTTTCCAACATTTCAACACCATAACGTATCTTTCTAAACTTGACTTTCACAGGCTATTAACAAGCCATTATACTGACACAAATCTAACACATTCCCAACAAAAGTGAGAACTAATAACGCCTTTCAAATATTTTAAAGAAATTAAGAAACTAACACTATCTAATTGTCCGTTTAACAGGTGATCGCGAAGCACGTCGAGGGGTTCAAATCAAGTCATCGAGGTGACACTTTCACTGGTAGCGCACGCGTCTTCCCACGGTGAAACCGTGCGAAGTGAGAAAATGGTCTCACCACCAACCAGCAACAAGGCCAGATGTGTCAGGTGACTGCGTACAATGCAGGCGAGGGTAACATCTCACCCGCCACGTGTCCGGTTAAAACCGACCCAGTACAAATGCATCACAGGGTTCTGGTTACTCCTGACGATTCTAGAAGTAGTGGTCGCCAACAGACCGCCCAGGTTTCTAATAGATGGCCAGTCAGAAATTGTTGTCAGACTTAAGGAAGGACCTGACACACCAGTTGGTAAGTTACTTACGTATATGGATTAAGCATGCATAATCGCTTTTGATTGATCGCTGAATCGATATTCAACTAGTTTCAACCTTTTGAATGCACCGATATGAGACACAATAGAAAATACATTGTGTCTCGCGTGGATCCACGTCTTAGACACACGAAAGGTTATGGTAGTGAATAACTTCGAACAAATGGACTAAAACATTTGGATTACGTTACCTCAAAGCATATTGAATTCGTACTTAATATGATTGCATCAAATCTTAGTTGCAAGGTCTTTGCACTAAAATATCAACGTCCACTCGATATGTCACAAAGATATCAATTTTCGAAACCACATTAGGTAAACCTAATACAATACCTATATAACTTCAATATCATATTTCGATACTGCATACTTATAAACACCTGTTATATTAGCTCCCCAATGCTATTACAAACTTGGGCTTTACCGGAGTTTTAGTAAGGTACCGACAACCGGAAATTATTCATAATAGGGGAACGGGTAGAATGGGGTTGCCACGACAACTGATGCAAACATGGGGAAGCCCTATTGGTGTTAAAACAGTCCCTTGCTTATACTGCACTTACTAATCGTCGATATGATGTAACGAGGATAGATTAGTCACAAAGCGTATCCGTAAATGCCTGATGGGGTCTGAATTCGGACTAGTATTTTGATAGTAGGCACCGACAGAATTCAACGTGAATTTCCCTGTATAATGACTTAATGGGGATGAGTCATAGCAACTATGAAAAGCAACTACTATAGAGCCGAAATATCGCTGACTCATGCTATGATTTTGTTTTAAGTTTTGACGCGATGTTCTGTTTTTCTTTTTTTTTGAGCTACACGGTCGGTTGACTTTTCAAATGGCTAACTGACTAGCTGTCACTGAACATCGATATCTTCACTCTGTGTCTAAGTCTGACCACCTAGATTTTTACTCTTCGGACCGTTTTCTTCAAGATTACGATTTTCATAAAACTTCAACAAGTAATTAAATGTTACTTTTAATTTCTTCGAACGTGTGGTTATGGCCGTGAATAGTATATAGGTTTAAGTACCTATGTGTGTGTTAATTAAAATTATAGACCGTTATTTTAATTTCAGGTAGCCTAATATACCGGCTGAGGGGCGTTGACCCCGACGGAGATACGTTACAGTTTGGCATTAGAGACCAACTTGGTAGTGATATTTTAAGATTAGAAGCCATTTCATCCAACGAAGCTAATATTTATTTAGTTAAGGAATTAGATAGAGAGGTGAGTGTATATTGCATGGAATAGTAAGTAAATGAATATTGGTAAGAGTTTAACTTCAAATGGTGTATAAATATATGGTTTACTCACGTGAACTATAGGAAAAAACTCTACTACTTTCAAGTCCCGACAGCACTCTCATGAAAAGTATAATTACCCGAATTTGACCGTAACTGTGATTGTTTTTTTTTTCACTGAATGAATTAAGATTTGCCTAGGGAAAACAGCCGTAAGGTATATTGATGTTGTAATTATAATAAAATTGCTAATAACAATATATTATTATGTAAGTAATTTATTAAAATATAAATTATAAACCATATTACCTACTTGTAATTATTTTTTCGAAAGTATTATCATTATCATTATTATCTGTAAAAATTAATAAATACTGGCTGCTCTGTGACAAAATAATCTTACATTGCCATTAGCTTTCATTAAAAAAATGGTTTTTTTTTATTCACGATATAATATATGGCTTTCCGTCTTTTTTGAACTGAAATAGCCAGAAGTTAATATTTAATTGAAACGGTGAATATTTATGTGATTTATTTGTTTTAGATCCGCGATGAATATTCTTTTGTATTAACTTTAACTGACGGACATCTAGGCGATGGAAATTACATTACGCAAAGTTTCTTGTTGTTAGTTGAAGATGTGAACGACAACGAACCAATTTTCAGACCATATCCTTCCGCAATAACAGTTAAAGAAGACGCTTCTCCTGGAATTTTAACAACTGTAGAAGCAACAGACCTGGATGAAGGAGCTTACGGTCAAGTATGTTTATATTTTATATATTTAAAATCTACACCTTTTCCTTTACGTCACTACCTCCATAAACACTACCCAACATTGCCTGTGTCAGTAATGTCAATGTCTTTGTCATCTGTCATTTTGAAGCATGCATTTGAAAAAAAACATGAAACTTCAAAAACTTGTTTTGTTTTGTTTGGTTCGTCTGTATGATTCAAAATTTTATAATTTTTAGGTGTTGTACCACTTGCAAGAACTTGACGGAGACGTACAAAACTTCGCTATACAAACTGTTAACGGGAAAGGAGTGGTACGTTTGACAAATCGGTTGGATTATGAGCGTAAGTCGTTGTACCAACTTCGAGTGCTGGCTGTGGACCGTGCGAATCAAGGGCGGATTAACACTGGGACCGCTGCAATCCTTATTAAAGTACAGGATGTGGAGGACCAGCCTCCAGAGTTTGTTGTTGCCAGTCCCGTGACGAGGATCAGTGAAGATGCTCCTATTGGGACCTCAGTCTTGCAAGGTGAGGTTTCATTAAGATGTTACATTGTTGTAGATATTAATTATGTATAAATACAGCGCCTCCTCCCCTCAGGTCGCCAATCACATTTGTCAAAACTATTTTAAAGAGTCTTAACTATACTATACTATAGACAGAAAAAACAAAATATTATTTCATCTTCCTTCCAGTACGAGCTATTGATGGAGACCGAGGAATCAACAATAGGATATCGTACAGCATCATATCAGGTGGAGAGGAACACTTTGATATTGACAGCAGTTCAGGAGTTGTGTACACTGTCAACCAACTCGATAGGGAAGACCCTAATAACAGCAATGGAGCATATATTTTGGAAATATTGGTAAGAACATTAAGTTTTGTGATATTCTCATTAACTTATACTATGTTGCTTACTTAGCAATATTGAACATTTTAATTTTTTCCGCTGGATATTTTCACATTCAACCTCTTAGGTGATTTATATATCTATTTATTTATGCTTTATTCTACACATTCATTAAAGTAGCTCAAAAAAACAAACATGTCTCGTAAATATGCGTACAATAGGCAGTCTTATCACACAATGGTGATTTCTTCCGAGATCGATTTGATCGACAGTGATTATCATAAACTTTAATCGGCTTATTTGTGAAAAGGAATCAATCATTAATTACATCTTAAAATGAGAATAGTTAAGTCTAAAATGTGCTTACGTAACAATCAATGTTGACCAACGTTATTGGCGTTAGATGGCGCTGTGTGTATTGGTATATGTCACATTGGCTTTTTATCCTTTTGTGACGCGAGCGAAGCCGCGGGTAAAAGCTAGTACTTTATAAGTTACATAACTTAACTTAATTATTTCAGGCTACAGAAGAATCCCGCACCATCTCACCGATGCCCAGTGCTACCACAGAGGTGACAGTCATAGTGACGGATGTGAATGATGAAACACCAAGGTTCAGAAACGACAGATATGTCGGAGAAGTACTGGAGAATGCACAGCAGAACACACCAATTACATTCTTACAAGATGCTATTCCTGAAGTTTTTGATTATGATCAGGTAATAATAATTATTTATTTATTTAACACTTGTAAAACCAACAATTATACAATTTGATTAAAAAGAATGTGACATACTACAAAAAGCCAATTACTGGTTGCCACTATCAGTAAAAATGTTTTTTTTTAACTGACTTCAAAGAATTTTTTAGATTTTTAGAAGTTTTTTAGAAATCGATCTTTTTAAATGTAGTTTAGATTTTTTCGTTTTGTAATATGATTTTTGCCTGTTATTCAAAGTATTTATAGTTGGACAAAGTTAATAGATAAAAATGATTGTAACTGGGTGAAACATTTAATAACTTAACTGACCATTGACCATAACTTACATACACATTATAATATAATTGATCAACAAAGCGTAAAATTATTCATAATAACCAAGCACCAAGGTCGAAAATCAGATGTTGGTGTACAGTATAAAGTATAATAAAATTGTAACATTTCTTTTACAGGGTAAAAATGGTACATTTGAACTGTACCTAACAGGAGATCACGGTGTGTTCGATGTGACTCCCTTCAAAGGTATCAATGAAGCTTCATTTCTCATCAGAGTCAATGACGCATCATTCCTGGATTATGAAAAAGTCACTGTTATGAATTTCAGTCTAGTCGCCAAAGAAATTGTTACCAAAGATCCTAAAATGAGGTATGTTTGTACTACTTAAATTGTCAATCTGTTTTATTTAATCACATATTTCTATGAGATAAGGCGGCAAACGAGTGTACATTTCACCAGGATAATATCACAACTGTCACCGCCCTTAGACACTCTTACTCTCTCACACCAAAGGAGTATGCAAGTCCAGCCTTCTAGGAATTTAGGGGATTTATACTTAAATAACCTGAATCATCCATCCCTCCCTATATTGTTTGACAATTGAATTTAACCTTATTGCTACTCCTAATAGAGTCTATGTTCTTCTAATTTCAGCATAGTGCCAATAGTGGTCCACATAAAGGACGAGAATGACAACTTTCCAGAATTTACCGAGTCATTGTACACCGTGTCTATACCTGAGAATTGTGGTGTTGGCACCACTGTCGCCTGGGTGCAGGCTCTCGACCAGGACTCAGATAATTATGGAACTAGAGGAATTAGATATACAAGTCTCGGAGGAAGTATTGCTAATTTGTAAGTGTTCTATTTTTAACTAGCTTCTGTCCGCGACTTCGTAGGCGTAATCCCGTTTTCTCCTGTTCCCGTGGAACTTTTTTTTCAGGACTTTTTCTGACTTAAAAACCTTCTCCTAATAATAACAAATACAATAAGGTATTAAGTCCGCCATTCACTGTATTTTGTGAAGAAGAAAAAAAAAATACAACAAAAAAATCAGCCAAATCGGTCAAGCCGTTTTAATGCTATGTCGTGACAACGGAAAACGGGTTTCATATATATATATAGATAAACCATTCTCTGTACTCCATAAATGATAAAGGAAAATCTCTGTGATGTCACTAGAAGATTCTTCTGTAAATATTTCACAAATCCTGCTTAGATTTACCAAAAGAGAAAAAAGTCAAATCAATCAATTTGAAATCAGTGTAAAATAATAAATTATCAAGGCTACTGTTTTTGCGTGCTTTTGTTTATTTACAATGTAAATGTTGTGTAAATTTTACATAACATAACATCACTGCCTTTATCCCCGAAGAGGAGGTAGAGGTGCACATTGCAGCTCTTAATGCCACTGTACAATGTAACACCCACTTTTCACTTTTTATGTTGAATCCCATGTAATAGCAGGTCATTTATTTATGTTGTCATTTATTGCTGTAATAAATAAAAGTTAGAAGATTATGGCATTGAAAATGATTTGTGAGTTTATTTGACTCGTCACACCTGATAACTAAAGTCAATTTTACATTCTTCTAATCATATATATACTTCATTTCCAGACTAAACCTTAACCCAATATCAGGAGTAATAACAGTAAAGCAAGCAGGCGGTGACAGTTTCGACCGCGAACTTATTTCGCGCCATTATTTGACAGTTGAAGCTAGAGACGACTTAGGCAAAGGCAATCGGAATACAGCCCAGTTGATTATTAACATAGAGGATGTTAATGATAACGCGCCAATGTTCCTGGCCAATAAGTATGAGGCCAGATTACTGGAAAATGAAATGGAATTTGAAAACCCACTAGTGCTTGAGGCTAGGGATCTGGATTTGAATGGTAAGTTGCTATTTTTTTTTTTGTTATTTGTCTAATCTATTCATGTCATCACAATTATTAGTCACAAAATGTCTACTACTTAAAATGTGCCTAGCTCCCAATGACTTGTATGTATTATTACCCTACTATCAATACCTATTTGTACTCAATACCTTTTTGGATAGAATAACGCTTGTTATTTTCTAAAGGTACAAGCAAACGTGTACCTTTTTTGTTGGCAAATAACATTTAATTCTACTTTGTAAAAGATAAACCTATTTTTTAAATACGTTGTTGGCGCTGGCATAAGTAAATTATAATTCTTAACATAATTAATGAGTGTTTACTTCTATATTCTCAGGAACAAAGAACAGTCACATAGAATACTCAATAGTTGGAGGAGAGTACAAGGACAACTTTACGATAGACCCGAACTTGGGCATCATCACTCCCGTCAGAGGACTCGACTTCGAGCAGATACCCGGCGTTAACAGTAACCTACGGCCTATACATCTTACTGTAAGTACTTGTTATTTACTAATAAGTAGTTTTATTTTTTTTGTTCTAATTAGAAGACTAATGTTCTAATATATATATTTTATGTATTAGGAATTATTATTTAAAGAAAGTCGTGTTAGTTACACTATGTATAACTCAAGAACGCCTCAATCGATTTAGATGAAAATTGGCAGGGAGGTAGTTTAGAACCATGAGACGGACATAGGATACTTTTTATAGAATACTTTTTTTTTACTTTTTACCGAAAATCACGAACGGGAACGGGGGAAAATGGGATTGCGCGTACGAAGTCGCGGGTAGAAGCTAGTTACAGATATAAATAAATCATGTACTACATTGTCTTTTTTTATTTTCAAGTAAATATCGTAAATTCTTGATTAAATAACTTACTACTAGAACGTAAACATCCACTTTACCAAGTTGTGTATAGTAGTTATAGCCCTTACAAGGTTTGAGAAAATGACCTCTTCCGGCTATTTTAACCGCGTGATTACATAGTTGTCCGAGTGGTCGCAAGTGCAACTGCCAGGCAAGGGGTCCTGGGTTTGATTCCCGGGTAGGGCAAAGTACTACTGGCTTTTTTTAAGTAATTCTCAGTAGTAACACGAAGTCTGGAAATGTGCCCGATATATGGCGATAGTGTGAGCCTATTACATGAGACTCATAACATAAATAGTGGTAGATTTTACAGTGGCATTAAGTGCCTTAATGTGCACCTCTGCCTACCCTTCGGGGATAAAAGGCGTGATGTTATGTATGTAGGTTTTGCGTGATAGGGTAAAAACAATTATAAAAAAATGTCCTAAAAACTTATCCTTTAACCTCTTGAGTGCCGATATATGAGACATATCAGAAAATACCTTGTGTCTCGCGGAGATCTAAGTTATCTCTCTACGTCTCAGCATACCATGAGTTAAGTCTCCTATTACCATCTTCAGGTGCGTGCCCGAGACTTCGGCGAGCCGTCCCTGTCATCCACAGTACCAGTCACTATATACGTGCAGGACGTCAACGACCACGCTCCACTGTTCCAGCAGATGATGTACAAGAGATCTATTCCTGAGGACATGCCTGGAGGAACTAGCGTGCTTGAGGTATTTTGGTTTAATATTGTACTTTATTGTTTTGGATTTAGAATGCAATTTTAAGATTCGATGCTAAACAAAACTGTTGTAGAGGTCGCAATGTCTCATGATAGTTTTATATAATTGGGTACTTTCCGTAATCAAAAATAAATTATTTCGACTGCTCAATACAATAAAATATCGAAAAATAATCACATTTTCATTAATTTCTTTTATGACCAAAGTACTTTTAGTATTTTGCAGCAACTTTAAAAAAAATATGCCGTTGTACGCTAAAAAGACTTGACGGCACAATACACAATCTCGTACAAAATTCATAGAAAACTGTCGTTTTTGACAGTTCGAAAAAAGCATTGAATTTGACTAGTTGGCAAGTACCCAATTATCGTTTTTGGAATATAGTGTTTTAAGAATAACAGTAGTAACAGTATTAAAAATGAACCCCAACCAAATCAAAGAGAATTTAAAAATCGAAATCATTTTACTCAGCTAATAAGAACAATAAGCTATTTCCAAAACTCATTTGATTTAGTTTCTGATTGTAATTCTCTTTTTGTTGTAATTCGATTTGGGTCATAAAACCCCTTCGTTTTATAAAAGGTTCACGAGATTATCCAAATTCTAAAGCCCAAGTCTACCGCTAAAGAAATCTTATAATTCCCCTTCAGGTTAAAGCTCGCGACGCAGACGGCTCGTCCCCAAACAATCGCGTGGTGTACAGAATACAGCGCGGTGCGAGCGATAAGTTCGTGATAGAATCCCGTACTGGAGTCGTGTCTGTTGCTAACGGGTCCACTTTAGACCCTGACAAAACTACACCTAAAAGCAACCGGTATACACTTACTGTGGTATGTATGTTTTTATTTAGTTTTGTAAAGTATTACATACCAAAGGCGTGTGTCTTTTAAGCTTTTCTCATCGAGTTTTATTAAATTTAAGTAATTAACTTTTCATAGTACTCACTGCTGTCTGTTTAAATTTTTCGTAATGTAGTTTATTTTTGTCTCCCTCTTTATATTCGAATATTGCATTGCCATCTTTTACAATAATAGTTCAAATTCAAAACATTCTGTTTGAACCCCTAGAGAAATATGAAATACTAAACTAATAAATCTGCAATCAAATCTACCTTTACAAATTATTGTTTTTTAATTCCCAGGTGGCTTTAGACGGTGGTATAGGCGACCAGCAACTTAGTGCAGCGGTACTGGTGAATATTACTATCGTGGACGTGAACAACAAGCCGCCGGTACTTATCGAGCCAGGCACCATCACTGTTAGAGAGAATACACAGGTAGTACTTTTATGAAGCTATGCTTTTATTTTTATTAAGATTTTTGTTCTTTTCTGTTCTTTAAAAGCGTCTCTGAGGCGGTTAAAACTTATTTATTCACAAATACAACCAAGCTTAATCAACACAATACAATTTTGAACGATATTATAATCATTATCTATTCGAAATCAAATTTTTGCGAAGTAAATTCGAATTTTAGTATAACGTTCTTGTGACGTTTTACGTAAGTGTTTCCCAAAAACACATTGATCTAGCCTATATAAGGGCGTATTTATTAAAATCTTCATGTCATAATCATAATTTTCAGGTCGGCACACAAATATACCGCGCATCAGCCCACGATCCCGACGACCAGCCAGTACTGCGCTACGCCATAGACAAGACAGGCAGTGTTGCCAGAGATGAGGACGGAGTTCCTATATCTGTGGCGGAGTATGATTATCTTGCGTTATGGGACTTGAATGCTGTAGATGGGACTTTGAAAGTGGTTAGGTAAGTAAATATTTATGTATGCAAAATTTTTGGTAGTATAAAATTTTATCTTCAAATTACATTGTAGTGCAAAGTGTTATTCTGAATTTGAATGTAATGGTTTTAAATTACATGTAGTATGGATTTATACTTTTTAATACCACCCAAACAAGATGATGTTTTTGCTTTTTTGGTCAAAACTGGAAAGTGTTATCCAAACAACAAAACTATGTAACTAGAGAATTATATTGTGAATCTGATTGAGAAAGAGTAACCTATGGAGTTTCTTGCTCGTTCTTCTCCATAGGAATCTACAGCTTGGAATGAGCAAATAGCTTCACTTTAAATTTTTATGTTGACGTTCAAAAGTGCATTTCTGGCCTAATTAAAGAAAATGATTTTCACTTTATATGTTAGTCCAATAGACATTACATCCCTTTTTAAAGGAGCACAGACATAAAACACCATTTATAACTCTGTACTAAGAACAAACTCTTTCAAACAGGCTCTTAGACCGAGAAAAGCTGGAAATAGTGAAACTAGTAATAACAGTTGAGGACATGGCAGCCATTGACGGTGGTCCCCGACAGACTGCTTCAGCCACCCTCACCGTAGTGGTTGATGATGAGAACGATAACAACCCAGTGTTCAGGAAACCATTGTACAAAACTTCCATTACTGAAAACTCTAAGAATGGCGTCAATATTGCTACCGTCATAGCTGATGACGCTGATAAGAATAAGACTATGAATTATTTTCTTGAAGGTGAGTGTATTTTTATGTTTTTATAATAATTATCGTGACACATACTAAATTAACTAAAAATTTCGGGTTACTCACGTGAAAATACTATCCGACCGCGACCGCGCACGCTGCTCATGAGGAAGGACCCCTCTGTGGTTCGAAACTATTAGAGCCTTTCTCAATATTTTCACGTGTGTGACCCGCGATTTTTAGTTATTTGTGTGTATTTTTACTTAAAATTCAATTCGTTTTAAAGCAATTCCATTAATGGTCTAATCATAGATGCTTATCTGTCGCGCGTATAGACATAGTTTGATTTAAATCAATTAGATAGTACGACTTATTCACGTAACTAATTCGAGAAAAGTGCTCGATTAGTTTCATGACTTGTTGGGGCGCATAATTATGAACAATGTCTTTTTTTGTCTTGTGGAGTGCGGATCCGTTCCGCAACTTTCCAAATGCTGTATTTACATTCTACACTTTTTAACAATAGTACAGAATTTACAGTAACAATCTAAATTCAACTTAATTACATTACATTAACGCTCATTCTCTAATAACAATATCGTTTAACAGGACGCGAAGACCTTTTAAACCTAGTTCACATGGACAGTAAAACTGGTGAAGTGGTAGTCGCAAGTAAGATAGACCATGAGTTGTATCCGTGGATCAATCTTACTGTGAAAGGGGTAGACAGCGGTGTCCCGCCGCGGTACTCAGTCGTCGATCTCTTTATACAGGTAAGAAATACATAAATTATATTATAGTACATATATTTAGGTTTAAATCGTTACCATTATTTTTTTAATACTGCCTCGTTACCCGAGTGGTCGCAAGTGTGACTGCCAGTCAATGGGTTCGAATCCCGGGTCGGGCAAAGTATTACTGGTTTTTTTTTAATCTCAGTACTTATAACATAAGTAGTGAAAAATGAAAGTTATTGTACAGTGGCATTAAGCGCCGTAATGTGTATCTCTGCTTACCCTTTCGGGGATAAAAAGCGTGATGTTATGTTATGTTGTCTTTGTAATTTTATCCCAATTCACAAGTTGCTTGGGAATGGGATCGGCGCAATAAGCCTTCTAACTCCATTCTTTTTCCTACATGTGAATATTATCTTTCACACAATTTATCTTTAGCATACAATGAGTTTCCAATAAGAATAGAAATGTCAATAAGCTTTACTGTCTTTATTTTGAACAAAATAGTTAATAAAGTTTTAAACAATATATTTCATATTCAATTTTATCCGCATGTTTACCAGGTTATATGGATTATCCGTAAAATGTAAATTGATATAATCACAATGGTAAAATACTTAAATAGTGTTTAATAATAAATGTTTATGTCACAGAGGTAATGTCTATTTTAACATCCTATTTATACTCCGTTCTTAGGAGGAAAAGTATGCATGCCTACAAATCATTAGTCAATACTGTGTTGGAACAATACAAACCAATGAAAATAGAAATAGCACTTAGATATGTATAAAAATCACTAATTAAACGAACTGACTAATAAACTTGAGACCCTAGTGTAAGTTTATTTTACGCATTCGACACGTTTATGACGTCCGACGCTCTGATTGGCCAGCTACAGTTAACCAACCATTCTTTGATTGGTTGGTTAACGTTGCTTTACGTGGTAACGATTTGATTGCGTTAACATAAAAGAACTACTAGTCTATAGAATTAAGTGTGGGAGAGCCATGCTTCGGCACGAATGGGCCGGCTCGACCGGAATGATACCACGGCCTCACAGAAAACCGACGTGAAGCAACGCTTGCGTTGTGTTTCGTCGTGTGAATGAGGTTACCGGAGGCCCAATTACCCTCCCCTTCCCCAATCTCCCCAATTCCTGAATCCCCAACGATCCTCAAACTCCTAATCCCCAAAAGGCCGGTAACGCACTTGTAACGCCTCTGGTGTTCTAGGTGTCCATGGACCACGCCGATTGCTTACCATCAGGTGATCCGTCTGCTCGTTTACCGGCTTATGCCATAAAAAAAAATCATAAAATAGACACAGAATGACACAGAAAAGTCAATAGAATCATAAGATTCTTATTGGCTATATTATTATAGACACAGTAAAAAATGTAAAGCGTGTATTATTTTAATTATATTGATCAAGTTAAACAAATTCCTAGTCAGAGTTAGAACAATGAATTTCCTTGAAAATAAGAACATGGGATAAACCTACAATATGATAAAAATGTAGTACCTAAGGCCATAACATTACAAACTATAGAAATATTTATTAATACTAGCTGACCCGGCAAACTTCGTACCGTGTAATACTCTAACCTACTCTATCCCACTCTACCTTTCTCTACCCTACTCTACCCTAATCTACCCTAATCTACCCTAATCTACCCTACTCTACCCTATTCTACTGTACCCTAATGAAAAATAGACTATCCTATCTCTCTAGTTGGATCGAACTGCATATGGTGTGCGAATTTTATTATAATCGGTTAAGTGGTTTAGGAGTCCATTGAGGACAAACATTGTGACACGAGATTTATATATATTAAGATATGTAGCAGTTAGAACTATTTTCGATTGCAATTTAATACGCAACGTATTATAGATTCCTGCATATATCCCTGACCATGTATTAAAATATAATTATTTGTAGGTTCTAGACGAAAACGACAATAATCCAATATTTGAGTCGTCGGCGTTCGAATACAGGGTGCTTGAAGATGTGGAACCGGGGACTACTATAGCGAACATATTAGCACGAGATGCTGATTCCGGCGAGTTTGGGAAGATCACATATTTACTTGATCGCATGTCTACACAGGTATGTATTGCATTATAATCAGATGTACTTACACGGGTGGTGCGATGGTTAGGCAACCGGCTGCCGCGCAATGTGTACCGGGTTCGATTCCTTCACGGAGCAACTTTGTGTGATCCACAAATTGTTGTTTCTGGTCTGGGTGTCATGTGTATGTGAACTTGTATGTCATGTGTATGTAAACGCACCCAATACACAGGAGAAAAACGTAGTGTGGAGCGTTTTTATTAAAAATAGTAAAAATCATACTTAGAGATGGATAAGGCTCAGAAAAGAGCGTATTCCTTTTTAAAAGGCCAGCAACGCACCTGTGAATTCCCTGGTGTTGCGGGTGTCCATGGGCGGCGCTGATCGCTTACCATCAGGTGATCCGTCTGCTCGTTTGCCTCCTATTCCATAAAAAAAGATGATCGGTTTTTTCCCTGTGTGTTTATTTTGTATAGATTGCTCATTAGCCTTTTTGTGTGATTGCACTCTTTAATTTTATATAAAATAAAGCCTTGGTGCATAACATACATTACCAGAAAAAGCACATTGATTGAATTACAAATCTATATACTTATTACAATCTTTTGTCTAATGAAGCGTTAATGTTTAAGTGTGGGAGAGCCATGCTTCGGCACGAATGGGCCGGCTCGACCGGAGTGATACCACGGCCTCACAGAAAACCGACGTGAAGCAACGCTTGCGTTGTGTTTCGTCGTGTGAGTGAGGTTACCTGAGGCCCAATTACCTTCCCCTTCCCCAATCTCCCCAATCCCTGAATCCCCAACGATCCTCAAAATCCTAATCCCCAAAAGGCCGGTGACGCACTTGTAACGCCTCTGGTGTTCCAGGTGTACATGGGCGACGCCGATTGCTTACCATCAGGTGATCCGTCTGCTCGTTTGCCGGCTTATGCCACAAAAAAAAATGAAAACAATAAAGTGCTTAGCTGTTAAGATTGCGTTCAATGGCATAATTCTTTAAAAAACTGTTCAGAACCATAAACATACTTTTTCTGTAGAATAATTAGGTACGTTCAATTTATTCTAATTTACAAAGCAGTCGTTATACTGATCATATTGCGTGAACCGTGAACGGTAACAATAAAAACTGAGACTCATCAAGAAATGAAACTGCCAGCTCGTGAATGTTACCAAGTAACTAATTATATTTAAAAAATAATGCAAGAAAGCATAGTTTAAACATATACATAGTTATGACATAACATCACGCCTTTTTTCCCCGAAGAGGGGGGAAGAGGTGCACATTACAGCACTTAATGCCACTGTGCAAAGTAACACCCATTTTTCACTATTTATGTTATGTATGTGTCCCATGTAATAATCATAACATAAATAGTGGAACGTGGGTGTTACATTGTTCAGGGGCATAATGTGCACCTTTGCGTACCCTTTACGGGATAAAAGGCGTGATGTTATTTTATGTCCCATGTAAACCTATGCCATATACCGGGCACAATTCCGTACTCCGTGCTATTACTGAACTTTGTCCGACCTCGGAATCGAACCCGAGACCCCTGCCCAGCTTTTTTGTGCAAACAGTTGTAAGTATTTGATTATATTGATATAGAGAGCTCATGTTATTAAAATGGTTTAGTAAAATTCCACTGAATAATATCGTTCTAATGCAATTGTAATAGAGTTGAACGAATTTTAATACTGAATATTTACCCGAAACGTTTACTTCAAATAGAATAAAGTCCCAGACTTTAGGCCCCAGAAAGTGGAATTTTCGCGAATACTTAAGTACGACTGATTTTATTAGCTATTCTCTATATTCTAAGTGTGGGAGAGCCATGCTTCGGCACGAATGGGCCGACTCCACCGGAGTGATACCACAGCTTCACAGAATACCGACGTGATACAATGTTTGCGTCGTGTTTCGTCGTGTGAGTGAGGTTATCGGAAGCCCAATCCCTCTCCCCCTCCCCCAATCCCCAGAATCCCCAACAATGTTCAAATTCGTAATCCCCCGATAGGTCAGTAACGCACTTGTAACGCCTCTAGCGTCCCGGTACCATAAGGTGATCCGTAGGCACGTCTTCTTTCTTTCTTTCATCTCCCATTGTGTTAGACTAGGATTTTCTCCTGGGTCGTGGGTGTTTACAAACTACAAATTTACATACACATGCCACCCAGACTTGAAACAACAATTTACGGATCACAAAAAGTGTTCCGTGCGGGAATGTAACACGCGGCACGCTGCACGGCATCCAGGCCCAGCCACCGCGCTAACCGTGCAGCCAATTGAGGGTGTCTTTGCCTATATTTTTTTTATACCCCGACGGTGGCAAGAAAATCACACGGCCCACCTGATGTTAAGTGGTTACCGTGGCCTATGTACGCTTGCAACACATGGGGTATTACATGCTCCTTACCGACCCTTTATAAACCTGTTTATTCCTGTATTGAACACTATTTTCATCCTACAGGGAAAATTCTTAATAAACGCAGATACAGGAGCTTTAACAGTATCAGACTGGCTGGACAGAGAGACGCAAGCGACATACAACCTTGTCATAGAAGCGTGGGATAACTACCAGTTTGGGTACCTCAGTGGAGAGAGCCGTAATGCTTTCAAGCAGATTGTGTAAGTACATACATGTCTATCGCTCGAATTCTGATAGGCTACTCAATTTTACGTCGCGCTTTAATACTTAAGCTTAGAACTTCTGTCTGTCTCTACAAATTCTTTGTAAATGACAGAGATGGCATGATATATTTTAAGTATCTACTAATAAAACGCTATGCTAGTTTGCAATCAACTGAACTTTATTTGAATATATTTGAACATCACTCAGCCGTTCATCCGGCCTTAGTACAAGTTTATCTTATGTTTAAAATAATCGAAACGAGATCTCGTTCGACGCGCTGATTGGTTGGTTTATTGGCGCCGGCCAATCAGAGTGCCGAACGCGCACTCGTTTCGAATACTTTAAACGTAAAACAAACTCGTACTAAGGTTCATTTTAATGTTTGCGAGTTAACATAAGCGACACTAAATGGCGTTAGCAGTAATTATAATAATTGGTTATTTTGTTATATCTATTTTACACCTACAACTCATAATTGTGTAGCCTTTCAGTATTCGGGCATTAGTCTTAAATAAAGGCGTCCTCGTTGGCCGAGTAGTCGTAAGTGCGTCTGCCGGGCAAGGAGTCTCGGGTTCGATTCCCGGGTCGGGCAAAGTAGGTATTACTGGGTTTTTTTAAATATTCTCAGTAGTAGCATGGAGTCTGGAGTTGTGCCCGGTATATAGCAATAGGCTCACTCCCTATTACATGGGACTCATAACATAAAAAATGAAAAGTGGGTGTTAAATTGTACAGTGGCATTAATTGCCGTAATGTGCACCTCTGCCTACCCCTTGGGGATAAAAGGCGTGATGGTGTTATGATAATATTTTAGTCATAACAAAACTCAGCAATGTTTTAGCTCCTTCTTAAATGTCATAATGACACTGCGGTTTCTAATCAGCTTGCTAAGCGTGAGCACAAATATTTGCAAACTACGAACCAAATATCTTGCAAAGTTCAACTTATGTGATTATTGATTAGTCATACTTATAAATGTATTTTAGAATCATTGAGATCTTTCGTATTTCGATTATATTATTGTAATTAACGTACAGTATTGGAATATGTATCAGAGACATTGTAGAACATACTTTTTAAAAAGAGTAACGAAGTGAGTTTCTTGCTCGTTCTTCTCCATTCGAATCTACATTTTGGAATGAGCACCTAGCTTCACTGACGGACTGACAGACTATTATTTATTTTGTATTTGTTGACATTTCAAAAGTACCAAATTATGGCTTAATTGAAATAAATGCTTTGAATTTGACTTTGACTTTAACAGCCAGCCCAGCTATTTGATATTCAGATAAGAACATAAAGATTGGGTCAGTACAGACCAACGATTGGTTAAGAACTATTGGTTGACTAATTACATATCTCCGTTAAAAAGTCAATTTAGTACATATGACAATAGCTGCTGTCTTTGTACTGAATAAATCTTTATTTAAGCTATTTTTAGTAAAATTTTCATATAAGAAATATTGATTTTTAATTTATTCATTCCAAAATGACCCATTTGTCCATTTATGCATAGTCCAATTTTGCATAACCACCCAAATTTGCTCTTAAATTATTCTCTTTCATTCTCTAGAGTTCACATAGAAGACGTAAACGACAACCCTCCGATACTGCACGTGCCTTCGGAATGTACTACTATAACGGAGTTCCATAACTACCGGGAGCCTATTGTGTCTGTATCGGCCACTGATGCCGATGACAACTCCGCGCCTAACGGACGAGTGCAGTTCCATCTCGTCGGCGGGAAGGGACATGGTATGTTGTCACTAGAATACTATGTAGGCTATTTTTTAATGAATTATCGGTATATAATTGTATGTAAGACATGACTTAGTGAAAAAAAGAGAGACGTCTGATAGAAAGATAAGAAAAAAAAGCACATAAAATAGGTATGTTGACAGGGTATGAAAATAAAAATCTAATTAGTCCGTCAGTTATGTAATGAAAGAATATTAGACACGTATTTTTTTATTTTGTCGTATAAGAAAACAATACTTAGATGAAACGAATCAAAGTTTAGGAGTGAGAGGTAGCTACGTCATTTTAAAGTATAAAACGTACTCAAAAGTGACGTCATGCGATATTTCAAATCAATATCTTTGAAACTATTCGTTTCCGTAAGAAAACAAAAAATACGTGTCTAATGTATTTAAACAATTTACCAGACGGACATTAAAATAAAAATTAGTCATCTACCCTATTAGAAGTCGTGAAAATCATTTCACACGTTAAACCCCATGGGGGTATGGGAATCACCGGTGACAGACGTTAGCGGAGGAATTGCCTTCAACAGTTCTCTATTGGCAGTCAAGGCTTTAATCAATTTGTTTACCTGTATAGCATAAATTAAATCAACCGTCTGAAACTGCCTATTTATGCAGCTATGTTTTACCTTCGAAAGACCGAATCTGACTCACACTTGGCTTAGTTTCATAGTTAGGAAACAAAATAAAGGGCTGGGCCTAAAAATAACGATATTAAAACATCATGTCTAATAATAAATTCCTTAAAATATCTCAATCTATCCCATACCTAGTATATTGACTGCTCTGTTGGTGCGGTGGCTGGGCAATCGGCTGCCGCGCAACGTGTCGCGAATTCGATTCCCGCACGGCACAACTTTTTGTGTGATCCTCAAATTGTTGTTTCGGGTCTAGGTGTCATCTGTATGTGAATTTGTATTTTTTTTTTAATAAATAATAAATTGAATTTCTCCACGGACTCGTGTCCGTGCCCTTGTCATATTACAAGTACATAATTTTCATGGTCAAATATTTTTTTTATAAAGATCTTACATACTACGCCTACCACTATCACTTGTATGTTTGTAAACGCATCCACGACACAGCAGAAAATCCTAGTGCGAGGCAACGATTTAAAAAAAAATCAAATCCTTTTTTTAAATGCCATATTTCCTCCAGATTTGTTTCGGTTCGAGCAAGTGGGTGGTGATGCCAACACGGGCCGTTTGTTCGCTCGCCAATCTTTGAAGGATCGCTTTGGAAACTATACCCTCGTAGTGGAAGCTAGAGACTTGGGCATACCACCCAATGTTGTTAGAGGAGAGCTGAGACTATGTGTCACTGATTATAATGATCACGCGCCAGTGTTCGTGCATCCTCCACAGAATGTCACTATCAAAGTGCCTGAGGTAAGCTTTCACAGTAGTGAGATCAATACTTTCAATACTGAATCTACCGATCTAGTAAAATTGGGTACTTGCCAAACAGTCAAATTCAATACTTTTTTCGAACTGTCAAAAACGACAGTTTTCTATGAATTATGTACAAGATTGTGTATTGTGACGTCATGTTTGTTTTAGTATCAAATAGCATGCTTATTTCTTAAGAATTTGCTGGAAAAAGATTAAAATTAAGTTAGTCATAAAATAAATAAATGAAAGTGTGATTATTTTTTAATGTTTTATTGTATTGAACAGTTGAAAGAATTTATTGTTGTATATGAACACTTTTCTCAAACATTTTAGTCGTATAATCCTTACTATAATCCTTACTAATATTATAAATCTGAAAGTGAGTTTGTTTGTTTGTTTGTTTGTTCCACCATCACGCCGTAACTACTAAACCGATTGCTTTTAATTTTTGCAGACGTAAAGTTAGAAGTCCAGATTAAATAATAGGGTACTTTTTAACCCGGAAAAAATTTATATTCCCGAAGAAAAACAAAAGTATTGATATAGATGGCGCTGTGTGTATTGGTATATGTCACATAGGCTACTTTTATCCTTTTGTGACGCGCGCGAAGCTGCGGGTAAAAGCTAGTGTTGGTATATTTTTAATCCTTTTTTATATGTTGGGCCGACGTTTATCTTGCCTGGTGGTAAGCGATGATGCCGTCTACAATGGAGCACGTCGACCCAGCAACCTGTTCAATCGGGCCTTGAAGACACACATACTTTCCCATATTCTGTTAATAATGTGTATTTTTACCCTTAGAACGCGACAATAGGCACCACAGTAGTAGAGGTGCGAGCTATAGACGCGGATATAGGCCCAAACGGCGCCGTGCGGTACCGAGTCCGGCAGGACGCGGCCGGCGCGTGGCGAGCATTCACTGTACATGCTACTAGCGGAGCTCTTAGAACTACGCAGCCACTGGATAGAGACAAGCAGACTACGTATCAGGTATGTTAGACAATAATAAACTGTTCTAAACATAACGGTGCGGTTGGTGCGGTAGCTGGGCAACCGGCTGCCGTGCAACGTGTCGCGGGTTCGATTCCCGCACGGAACAACACTTTGTGTGATCCACAAATTGTTGTCTCGGTGTCATTGTGTGTGTGAACTTGTATGTTTGTAAACGCACCCATGACACAGGAGATAATCCTAGTGTGGGGCAACGTTTTTATAAAAAAAATAATAAAAAATAAACAAATAAATAACCTAAAGCCTTCTATTGCACGAAGGTATAGGTAGAAGAGGTGTACATCACCAGGAAAGTTCTTTTGTGGAGACCACGCTTCGACTCATCGTCTTCGTCGGTCCACTGACGACGACATCGCAAGTGTTGCGAGGAGCCAGTGGATGTAGGTGGCGAGTTGTCGTTGGACGTGGACGGCTAAAGGAGGAAAAAAAAGACTAAAGGAAGCCTTTGTCCAACAGTGGACGTCTTTCAGCATTTGATAATGGTGATGATGAGAGGTGCACATATTACACAAACATTCAAACCTTGTTTCCTTTCTATGTACCAACGCCTTTTACCAGTTATGTTATGCATGTCATTGAATACAGTTAAGAATATTACTTGACATATACCGGACATAGTATCAGATTCCGGACAGAGTAATTGTCGAAATGCTAAAAGATCCACTATAATACTTCACCTGAGCTGGGAATTTAACCCGAAATGCTTTGTCCAGCAGTCGCACTAACGAGCACTAGACCAGGGATGTTACGGAGCTCCGTAACCGTAACCGAAACTATCGGATATCCGATATAAAAAAATATCCGTAACCGTAACCGAATCCGAAATAAAAGTTTCGGATACTATCGGTTTTTTTTTTAAGGGGGGAAATCATCGAATGACTGCTCCCGCCTGGGTGAGGCGGAAGGGAGTGTCAGACTCTTACTGACTAAAAACCACCCCGTTCCTTCTCCTGCACGTCGAGCCGGAGCCCCGGTTACCCGTTAGGTTCTCCGCGACTCCGTATCGGCATCGGCCCTATTGGGCCCCATCTGTGGTGGTCTGATGGCTCTTTGAGGCGCGCGCGGAACGCGACGCGCCGTACGCTCGGGTCTGTTTCTGGTCGGACGGGGAGCCACCCATGCTCGCCGTCCGCAGGCCCGCGGGATACTATCGGATAGCGGCGTGACGTATAAACGAAACAATTATATTAGTTATTTGTATTTTACTTTTGAAATTCCTTAAAATTTTAATATCCGTAGCCGAAATTATCCGAAACTAACGGATAATGCGAAATAATTTCATATTCGTATCCGTAACCGTATCCAGTATAATAATCATTTCTATATCCGTATCCAATCCGTATCCGAAATTTCATATCCATAACACCCCTGCTAGGCTAGACTAAAAAGGTAGGCGAACGAAAAAATAGTTTAAATAATTATTCAAACAACAGATTAAAAATAGCAAAAAAAACTTGTACACCCGGCAATTCAATTTTATGATGGCCGTTATATCTATTTCTGTCTCCACAATACACATTGAAACTAACAAAGACAGTAAATATAACGGTAACTCAAGATTCAATCGCGATTTAAAATTCATGCGTCAAATGTCGTTAATTCCCTGTATGTCTAATGTATTTTTTCCTCCAGATAATATAATCAATGTCTGCTCTTCGATCTCATATTATTAACAAAAACAGTACGTAACAAAATAAACCATATACATAACAATATAACTGCTTTTTTAGATATAAATATTTTTAAAATTTGTTTCACAATGTCTGATTAAGTTACTGACTATCGGCAAAAATTAATAAAATAATGACCTATCCCAATCCAAAATATGTGAATTAAGATCGATTTTTGACAGAATTTAAAACAACTAAAGTCAAAAATCAATGTAAATAAGAAAATTTTGGAACAAGATAGTTTATAGATTTCGGCCGTTTATAAAATACTTAAAACAAGCTGTCATTTAACCTTACAGAAATTTTTTCAGACATAATTATTGGCACGATGTTATTTTGCTATAAATTATGAATATTATTCTTCTACCATAAATAAAATAATATTAACCTATACAGTAGGTAGGTACTCTCTTTGCCCCTTAGGTCAGTAATTGTGTTATTATTGTCAACCGTCGAAGCGAGGGGGCTATTGCCATAGCAACGGGTAGACCAAAACATTCAATGTCTAATAAACAAACCTCCCCTATAAAAATAGATGAGTCGATTGATTAAATTATTTAGATACGTCATCATTATCATTAGCATATAAATGCCCACTGCTGAGCAAAGGGCTCCTCTCACAAGGAGAAGGAGCATTAATCACCACGCTTGCTCAATGCGGGTTGGCGATTTCAAACTTATAATATGAAATTAGAAGTTCAGATTTTCTCACAATGTTTTCCTTCACCGTCTGTCAGTGGCGTCTAAATATTCTTAGAAAGTACATATAACTCGGAAATAATCACATTGGTAGGTACTTGCCGGGTTTCGACCCCATGCACGAGAGGCGGGCGCCTCAACCTCCCGGCCACCACGACACTATTACACTACACTACTTAGATACCTACTTTCTGTAAATAGTTTTTATAGGCACAGGTTTCATAAATAAAATTAGTTAGTTTTATGTATAAAACACCTAATAATACTTTCGCCTAATTGTACCAGAGAACTCGTCCGAATAGTTGCTTATCCGACTGAATGGTCGACGCAATTTCCTACAATAAATTGTATTTCTAACGATAGAGTTTGACCCCCACATGCCCTTTGGTTGACAGTACACACTATTCCCTTACAAAGTATTTAAAAATATCCATAATATTTACCATTTGTCATTGTATGTTTTGCATATGCCAAAACCCGGTCACCGGTCGAGTGACTGGACGTCTGATTTATTTATGGTTTTACGTCTTATTTTATTCATGTTGATCGCAGTTCGTGACGTCACACTTACAGCTACGCACTAGTGCCGATAACCTGACATTGTTTTCCGGATCTAGACTCATTTTAATACAAACTATTTATTATGGGTGAAGGCACTTTTTTTATCTATACACGACTGTCTATTTATTTTAGCTTATTTCATTATCAAGAATCCGTACCCAATTAAAAATTAATCGGACGATAAAATAGATAAATTAATGTTGTGACAATGTATATGTTGTCAAGAACTGTGTTATTGGTACAGTTTTGGTATTTTTCCTCTACATCATACACATAGCATAGCCTATGTACTTGTAACCTTTTACCTAACTTTTATACAAATACGGAACATGAATTATATGCACGTACGTCGTACATAGTTCAAGCTGAACAATTATTATAAGACTATAATCTACCTCTATGCCAAATTTCATGTAGTTCCATTCCTTTGTTTTTGTTCAAAAGAATAACAAAAATCTGTACGTGTTCACAAACTTTAGCATTTATAATATCAGTAGGATTAATTAGATTTATTTTTAGGTGACAATGGGGTTGATTGGACCCCAGAAATTAAACGCATCTGTTAAGAATATTGTTTCTTATTAATATGCACCCCTGTATTATAACTTCTAACGAATTTCGACATGTGGACATTGGACAACTATCCAGATTCACTGTAACATCCAGTTGAAGATTCTTTACACCAATTGACCATAATATTAGACATTCTTAATGAACCATTATTATTATTACAACTTAGAACGTAACTGTAAGCTAAAGTCTAGCCGATACGGAGTCGCGGAGAACCTAACGGGTTACCGGGGCTCCGGCTCGAAGTGCAGGAGTAGGAACGGGGTGGTTTTTAGTCAGTAAGAGTCTGACACTCCCTCCCGCCTCACCCAGGTGGGAGCAGTCATTCGATGATTTTCCCCCCTTAAAAAAAACTAAAGTCTAAACTATCAATTGTTCATAGCTTCATCAGTCATTTCAATGTCAATTTCCTAACATATTGATTATTCCACAGCTCAGAATAGAAGCCTACGACCTCGGGCTGCCTACGCCACTTAGCTCGGACTTGGACCTAACAATTTACGTACAGAATGTGGACAACTATCGGCCACGGTTCCCCAACAAACACATACATATTAATTTTACTGAGAATGCACCCAACACTGGACTTTATTTGCCCAGCGTTATAGAAAGGGATGAGATTGACCGCGGCGATGAGCCCTTGTTACCAGTTTGCTATTATATTGTAGATGGCGATGAAGATAATGTGTTTGATTTACACAGGAGTACGCATAGGTAGTGATTTTTTGCTTTTACTTTTAATACTTAATTCTTAAAAATATGATAAAACGTTTTAATCTATGGTAGAATGTTGTTAATTTTGTAATTTTTCTCAAGTTATAAAGTTCTAATTAAATCAAGTCTTCTATAAAATAGTCTGGCATGCGCTTGAGTTGTGAATCTTGTTGAAAGTTCCCACCAATACCAATATACTTAATTGAGAATGTTCAGGAGAACAACATTAATTACCTTCCGTTATAATGTTCATTACAAAATAGAATACAAACACTGCCACTTTTCAGACTAACGACCCAAAAGCCATTAGATCGGGAACAGAAATCGGAATATTCGCTCACAATACTAGCGTCAGAAGACTGTGTAACCAAACCTAAGTATGATGAAGAAGTAGACGGAGTCAGCACGCTAAAGGTTCACGTAATCATCAATGATGTCAACGACAACGCTCCTAAGTTCGTCAGTAACATATTTACTGGAGGCATCACTACTGAAGCTGACTTTGGAATTGAATTTATGAATGTTAAGGTATTATTATTATTCTTCTTCTTTTATTTGTCATGTTAACAATAAGTACAGGATTATCCATTTAAAATAGCAACCAAAAACCACTAAGGTTTAAAGTTCTGCTATCATGAATCAATCTCAAAATCAAATTTTAACATTATGTCATGTTTTCAATCCCTGAAGGAGTACTTACCTAGGCAAAGGTGTTTATTATACAAAGTAGCCTACTGTTCATAAGTTATGAGTCCTATGTAATAGGAAGTAAGACTACTGCCATATGCTAGGTATATTTCCAGGCTCCGTCCTATAACCGACAATAGATGCCTAATTTTTATTTTAATGTCCGTCTGGTAGATTATTTTAAATCATTAGACATGTATTTTTTATTTTCTTACAGAAACGAATACTTTCGACGATATATTGATTTGAAATGTCACGTGACGTCACTTCTAAGTACATTTTATACGTAGAAAAGACGTTTTAGCCCCCATTATACGACAAAATAAGAAAATACGTGTCTAATATTTTTTCATTACCTTACTTACGGACTAATCATATTTTTAATTTTCATACCCTGTCATCATCCCAATTAAAAAAAATAATGATTTTTAATGAAACTTTACCCGACCCGAGACAGTTAGAGGCGGATATGCTATTTTCATTGTTTATTCACTTTTACTCGTTCAATTTTCTCTTGTGTGACGTTTCTAAAGATGCTCGGACGATTTTCATACCTCAACTATCTCACTTTCTAATCCGTAACATTCTTGTTTCATTCATAAAACGTTACTGTATACTAGTTTTCTCATAAATTGTGCTTCATGTTACAACTTCGCTTTGGTACTAATTTGCTCTTTTGTTTCCAGGCCATAGATTTGGACGAAGGTGAAAACGCTAAAATAAGTTATTACTTAATCGGAGATGTGAAGGAAACTCTAACGGAAGGTTTAGAGAACTTAGCGGTGTCCCCGTTTCTAGTCAATGTTGAAACAGGCGCGGTTTCTTTGAACTTCGACCCGCAAAAGGGAATGAAAGGATATTTCGATTTCAAGGTGAAGGATATGATATTTTATTCCTTCGTGTTTTACAGCCCTTTTAACGATACAATGGATGCATTCAAACCATAAGTCCTTGCCAACTATGAATGTGGAACTACGTAACAGCCACAGAGCGCAGCGCATGCGTGTTGCGACTATTCTATTTATTACTTACGTATTTTACAAATCAATAGCACCGAATGATAAGTAGCTTCAAGTAGATACTTATCCACTTATTCGTCGTTTTTTAGTTTTTTTATCTTAACGTTGAGTCATACGTGACAATATTGCGGATAAGAAAACCTTCCTCAATGCCTTTTTGTTGCAATCGATACCGACATATTTGCATTAAAAACACATACTGCGTATTAAGTATGATTTTATATCAAGTTGTGAAAATTCACTATAGAAGTGTATTTTTATAGCGCGGTTCGTTTCCTGTACATGAATAAATGCATTGATTATAAGCCTAGCTTAGTAACGAATTGTATTGGAGATGTGCCGAACGAGAGGTCATTGGCCTTTACCCCTGAATTGATTGCCAAACCTTTTGGATCAAGGCGTGATGTTCTATTTGTACACTTCCAGGTTCTAGCGAATGACACGGGAGGTTTACAAGATGAGGCGCATGTATTTATTTACCTACTTCGTGAAGACCAACGTGTTCGCTTCGTCCTACGCTCTCACCCGTCAGAGATCCGTGACAAGATCCACGTGTTCCGTGAACGATTAGCACGAGTGACCGACTCGGTCGTAAACGTGGACGATTTGAGGGTACACGAAAATAAAGATGGCTCAGTTGACAATACTAAAACCGACTTGTATTTGCACCTCGTAAACGGGGAAGATCATTCCGTTTTAGAAGTCGAACAAGTACTAAAACTAGTTGATAAGAATATTGAGCAGTTGGATGATCTCTTCAAGGTAATTTTAAGTGATTCATTTGTTGGTTATTTACTTAGACATTTCGATGGAAATATAATTACAATTTAAACTCACTTATAAAATATAGAAAAACAAAAATAAACTATTTCATTCACGTAAGTACCTACTTACTTATTTCAAATCCAACGACATTTTCTAGGAGTTCAACGTCCTAGACACTCAGCCGGCCGAGTACCAGCCTCTAACAGCAGAAACTCTTTCGTCAAACCAGACAGTATTCTGGCTAGTATGGACCACGCTGTTCCTGACTGTACTACTCGTGCTTACCGTCATGATGTGTCTGTCGCAGCGAGCTGATTACGTCAGAAGGCTAAAGGCTGCTACTGCTACAGCTTATTGTAAGCATTTTGGTATAAACATTTATTTCGTAATAAATACGTATCTAATATTTTCAAATAATTCACCAGACGCACATAAAAAAATGTCATGTATGTTTGTTTTTGGGATCTTAGAACTGGCTGATTAGTTCTGCATATTTTGTTATGGATGAGATGTAGATACCGACCTATTAGTAAAGTATGCATGCTATGGTGTATTGTGTTAAACTGCCCATTTTAATAGGATTATTCACAGTAGGTACCTAATAAAATCGTGGAAATCACAATCTCCGGAAAGCAACTGGAGTCAACAGTCGACTTTTGCGGTCTAATAAGCACAATGTTTTTCACCATAGATTGTACTTTTAGCTTACTAGTCCCAAAAACACTGTTCTTGTGTATTTGTTCTCTACGAATTTACAAAACAACTTGAAAAGGATTAAAACATTTATTTAATAATAGTAAATTGTATTAACAGTATTACTTTTTCTGTGCAGCATCTCCGACTCCTGGGGAATCAGACATGACCATCCGCAGCTCGGGAGGCCGAGTGCCCAACACAAATAAACACAGTACAAAAGGATCCAACCCCATATGGCTCCATGCTTATGAGAATGATTGGTACAAATCAGAAGATCAACTCAGTCGCTCCGAACGTGACTCTCTCGACGAAAACGCAGTTGATCAAGACTTGTCAAATGAAAAACCTTATTTCATTACTACTGGCGCCTTCCCCTCAATAGAATCTAACGAAACCGAACCCCAAACAAACCAAGCAAAGTATGATTTCTACCAGCAATTAGAACAAATGAAAAACGCAAAAAATATGGAAACGACTGAATTGTAATCTGTAATGTTAATTGTAATGATAGATATTGATAATTATGTGCCTTTGTAAATTATGTACCTCCATTTTTATCTGAATACATTTTGTAATAAACTCTATGACTTGAATCACCTATTATATGACCGCATAGCCTATCTATTCCTTTCGTCCTCAACCTCTTGTCTATACTCTTACAAGTTGCTCGTTTTGCGCAATGAAAACATCACGGGTTCGATTCCCGTACGCAACAACTTTGCGTGATCCACAAATTGTTTCACATCCTTTTTTTATATTGCAAACTAGGTACCTTCACCTACCTTACAAAATAAATTACTCGCCAATTCAAAATTATGTCTTTTAAAGAAACGTACTCCATAATAAATAAGACTAATTTGCTATGGTTAGATCACTGGGCAAAGATGAAAAGCTAGGTATGATTTTGTCTTATTATCATACATATAAATTGCCTGGTACCTACATCAGGTATATCAATACTATGTATGGTGACCACTAGACAATATTTTAGCAGTAGCAGGTACTATGTAAGGTAGGTACCAACATTACTAGTTTTTTTATTTAGGAGACAGAAATGCTCTAGTTTAGTGAAAAGTCCATTATTATCATATCGAGGACATCTTATTAGACTGTAGCTTACGGTATTTACTCAAGTAATGTTAGACTAATTTGTATTAGTAAAACGGAAAACTTGACACAATTCATATGAAACTGAAATTTTTGGCTGCGTGTATAATCGCCCACTATTATGACTATGAATTTAGCAAGATTTTTAATTACTGGTAAGTTCTACCTGGCACTTTGATCTCAAATCTAATAAGACAATCGAGTCGCCTTGATCATAAGAGATAAAAGGTGTGGAAGTCGTGTACGGAAATCGCCCAGGTGTAGGAATAGGGTCAAAAGGAAAGAGTAGCTGTTACCACTAAGCTATGTATTCTTGTTTTAATGTTAAATTGCATTTTCAATCTAGACAATAAAATATACTTATATAGATAGTACGTATACTTTTCCAATTTCCTTCAACCGTGATTATGGCAACAAATATGTTAATCACGTTCTAGATTAAAATGTTGTAAGCAAAACGTCATTGCACTACCGTGAAGCCGAGATTTTTATCATTTTCATAGCGATTATTTTGGCAGATTCTCAGTCAGTGGCCTAGTAACCAACTATGTCAGCTAATTAAACTCAAATGAATGTTTACAGCTGCTTACGTTTACCAGGAAGTTGCCTAAATAAAGCTCAAGGTGTTATTTACATACACAATAATTTATTGTTTCTTACAATTTAGTGAAGCTAAAATACAAGTTGTTGGTTGATTACAATTTGAAAAGCTTTAAATTTGAATCTCCCAGTGATAGATCAAGTGAACAAAGCTTCCTCTTGCCTGCAGCTGTAACGTTTAACACACCCATGCTAGCCACTCGTGCCGTGACGCTGTTCACTTCAGTAAGTTTGTTCAATTACTCAGAGGAAACGAGGATGGTTGAATGGAAAGGACATTCGTGGAAATCACAACGCAGGTATCCTTACAACCACAATATATATTAGATAAAATTATAATATAAATCGCCATATTGAAAAAAAATCTAGATTAATCGTAACTTATCATCTTATGAGATACACTGTAATTTATACTGAATGTTGTAACTATTGGAGCGTTTTCCATTGTCATAAAATATTGTGGATGAAAGAAAACTGACCACTTCAATCAACGTCAGTCTGGTCTGTAGCACGCTACATTTACTAACTTAAAAAAAAGTTGTTTTCTAGTAAAAAAAATTAACACTCACTCCGTCAACGAGCTCATTTTGTGATACCACTTACTTACATTACCCAAAATGTTCTTAACACTTATGAGCTTTACTTACATTTCATTGACAAAATCCTAAGTGAACCGGACAATTAGTAAGTAGTAAGCAAGGAACGCTCCATTTCCTAACATATGGCTATTGTACAGTTTTACAATGCAATTTAGATCTAGTTAAAGTACAAATAGTTTAGGAATTACATAAATTCAATTGATGTAAATTTAACTAACCTTTAAACTTCAACTAAACAAGTGTAAAGATATCTACTGACACATCAATGTAAAACAAAAAATAATTTTGCTCTTATAGAAAATGTTTCTTATTAGATAAAACAGAAACTATATTTGCACATGGGAACCTGTTACTTACGATGCAATATATTCGCAATACCATAATATACGACAGAAATTAGGCAGGTCCTAATATGACCATGAACATTTTTACAATCTCCAGTTAATTTAGGTTTGATGGGGATAACAAAGGATCAGGGAGCAGGATAAAGGGATAGGGAATGGGATTAGAGCCCGGGCTGTGGCGATGTGTGTGTATGTTTGCTGACGTCACAATTGACTCATCACATGGCATATTTCCTCGTCCACTCACGGGCTAGTTCATTGTACTTTTCTCTGTCCGTTTTGTAGATCCTAGCAATTTCTGGCACCAACGGGTCATCTGGGTTTGGATCGCATAGGAGTGAGCAGATTGAAAGCAACACTGGAAGTTAAAACAAAACTCATCAATTCTTGTCTTCTTAAAGTGTTAACCAACAACAAATATTTTAGAGAATAAATATGAAAACGGTTGAGTATAAAGTAACATGTGCAAAAATTTACCTTTGGATATGGTGAGTGCTGGAGACCACTGTGAGCGCAGAATATCAAGACAAATGGAACCATTACTGTTTATGTTAGGATGGTAAATACGTGTTGTGAATGCAACTTTTGGTGGTTTGAATGGGTAGTCTGTTGGGAAATGTATGGTCAGAAAGAATACTCCTCCTTGATAAGGACTGTCGACCTGTAAAGATAAAATAACAATTCAGTCATACTCACTTAAGAAACACATTTGAATTTAAAAAAGATCAAGAAATATACATACTGGACCCATAATTGTGGCTTGCCAATGGAAAACTGAAATCAGAAAAAATATTATGTGTATATTTAAAGATAGTTAAAAATATCTTTATAGTACAATAGAAGGTTATAAAAGAAAAACTAAAATCATTGTTATTCCACTAAACAAGGTCATTGACACAAGTTGTCACTGCAAGCTGCAATGTCCAACACAAAGAAATATTACTATTTACAAATAGTTAAGAAAATTATATTGACTAATTAGTATTTTAGTTTCCATTTTTGGTTTCCAATTAAGATCTTATTTGATCAAGTAAGATTCTTTCATAGTTTGGGAGTTCAATATCCTCTGTACACACAGTACAGTAGCATTTTGCTATGGAAAATGTCTACATGGAAATGAGTCATTCTGCAAAGAATAAAATATGACTGAGTCAGGAAATTCTGAGCACAGTAACATATAAGTAACATCATTTAATAATAGAATAACTATAATGAAGTCATATTATACAGCAATTGTATATTATTCATATAAGAATATTGCAGGCATATCAACTATAGCTTTGCCACTTTCACAGATGATGTTTTGAAAAGATCAGTATGTTTACAAAGATACTTGTATTTCATTTTGATGATGTGAAAGTCAGTGAATATTTGTTTTTCAACTCAATAAAGTACAATGTAAAAAACTTTTCATATCAAATATTCAAACAGTTTTCAAAATGATCACCACAACAATTTTAAAAAATCAATACTGATATCTATTCAAAACCAATGATCTGCTTCCATGACACTGTTTCACAGTATTATTATTATCCAACACAATGAGTCACAAAAAATAAGTAGGCTGTAGATTAAAAGGTACTTACGATCTTCACCGTGTGGACCTGCAGAACATTGTGCTGGTGGATCTCTGCCCAGATCTTGTAATTCCTGAACAGTAAAACAATATCATGTGGACACAATAACATAGGAAACACAATACCATGGCTAAAACATGTCACATCATCACGTCGAAAAATAAATGGGGGTTGAACATATTGTTCCGTACGGCAACATCGATTTGTGATCCATGTAGTTTCTATCACTAATCATCGTACAACACCTAAATGTTCCACATTTTCACGACACAGGTGGCTTTCATGACAAGAAAACCTCAAAATTGGCACATAATTCCGACATTTTATGTACGCCGTGTGCACAAAATTGTCACCTACATCTACCAGTAAAACACCGTTATCTCGTTAAAATTACACACAAAACAAAATAGTAATACATCTGAGAATTTCAATAAAACCATCACACACGAGGAATTATCCAGAAGAAATTTCGATAATAGGTATTCACAATGACGAAACATTCACTACGAAGTCTGATACCATTTTTACAACACTTCATTTGATACTGCATCAAATTATTGAAATATATATCACAAATACCAATACGTACCCTATTAATTCGTTTTAACGCCATTTGATTATTTTATGATGGAATAAACTGACTTTCAACTAGACAACGAAACTGTGAGCCAAGGACCTTTGATTAGAGATTGCAAGATGGCTCCCGTCTAAACGCAAAAGTACCACCTAAGTCGTTTTATGCAGTAATAATGAATTTCTACTATCGAGGATCAAACTTTAAACGCTTAAATAAAAAATAATAATAACTTATAATAAGAAAAAATAAGAACTAGAACAGAGCACGGATTGTAACAAAATTATACACTCTCAGCAAATGGAGAACAGCAAACAGGAAAATCGACCATTTACAAAGACCGTTCAGAATTGCACGGTTCGTAAGTGGCGTTTATGGTTAGACGTTTTTTTAATTTAGTTATGTTTCTATGGGATTCAAATAAAGATTTATGGTAAAATACTTGTTATTTTGAAAGTATCGATATTTTAATAAGCAAACTAAACAAATTCTGCGCAGTAATTTATATATTTTTTTGTTTATAGAAGCTATTACGATTATTGATTTTTTAAAACAATATTTATTTATGGTAACACTGAAAATAGTAGGATATGACGTCTTGCTCAGTAAAGAAATCTCTGGGGCGCTATTTTTGGATTATTTGGAGATATTCATTACTGAAGTAGGCACGCTAGCTATTTTAGAGCACATTTTTGCAATTTGAAACTTTCCCAGGTAGAATGGCATCCGTTAATTTCAATTAAAATTGAAACCATGATAAAACTCTAAATCAAATGGAAATTGAAATGTAGTAATGTTATAATTTAATATTTTCTTATAAGAATTGATAATTTTAGCAAAATGTTATATATTTTTTTTACTTTTACCATTGAGTTAAATATATTTTTTTACTTTTAAGAATAGACTTTCTTTTTATTCGACTTCAAAAGAAGGAGATTCTCATTTGACCCGTATGTTTGTCCCTAATTGTCTCACGATTGGCTGATCTCATTTTAATGCGGTTTCCAGAAAAATGTTTATTACAATTAGGAGCAGGTTTAATTATATTATCTAACTTTATTATCAGGACTTGGAGGTACAAATTGGCTTATCTTAAACGTAATTTATTGAACATTATAAGATGCTTTCGTGGTTTGCGTTTTATTTTCGGCAGTTATGGTTTACATAGGCTTGATAGCTGAAAATTAAAACATCAAAAATGTAGGTAGGTACTTTTGCTTTTGCGACAAACACAATATTTTACATGTGGCAACAATTTTTTATAGTTTTTAATTCTAAAAAAGGAGATTTCCTTTGAATTTTCTGTTTCCTTCAAAGAGTTTATGTAATTATGTTTGTGATGTTTGGGAAACATTCCATTGTTTTGTACTTTTTTCAACGTCCTTGTTTAGCATGCGATACTTGGCGATACAAATTACGCTTTTTATAGTTTTAAGACTCCATATTTTGACGAATATAATTTTGATTGAAAATATTGATTAAGATAAATACAAAAAAGAGTAGATACACCTTGATTTTAAATGAAAATAATATATAGTTGATATTTTCATTATTCTAATTAGAATACATATTTCATTTTTAGACATTTTGCATTTCATCTAGGTATTGCATTGTATAATAAATAATTACGTACTTTATAATCTATACCAATCCTTAGAATAATATCGATAAATATCTTGAACCTCATTAAAACATCAAAGATTTCTTCGTCTGAAAATGATAAATAAATAAATAAATTACCAATTACTTTGAATGAAGTATTTACAATTAGAGATGTTTTATTTCTTTTCATGACATAACAAAGCGATAAACATTGTTTAGCTTTATGTATATACTCATAGATAATTTATTGAAATTTAAAAATAACTTAAACATTATAAATTAACAAAAATTAAAACATGTTATAAATTCCACCGAGATAAAACGAAACGCTTACAACGTTCGTTTTATTGCTCTGTCATGCATAGATCACGCTAAAGTATTTTTGATTGGCGAGTAAGTTTTACTAACCAATCAGAAAGCATGAAAATCTTGACGTTGATGACATGCAAATGTCAGTTTGACTTTGAAAGGTCTTGACGTATGTAGATTAGAGTCATGCCAAGAATCCAAGATGTGACGTAGACACACAGGAATACACGAACGCAACATTTTTAAAAAGTAGTTTTGTCAATATCGCATGAGGAGGTGGTAGTGTTGTTGCATTCTTGTGTTTATTATCTAGTTTTATCGAAATTTTTAATTAGAAGTGTGTGCAGTTGTATCGGATAAATATACAATGGATAACCATTGTTATTTCCTTGATATATAAATAATTATACGGGTATAGAAATATTATAGTTATATTATTTATGTGATTTTGTTAGATCAACATTCTAAAATGACTCTAACTATGACAAAAAAACTTAGCGAATGCCAAGCAGAAACTGTGCAATTTATGCCCATAGAAAAGGTAAGTAAATTTTTATTTTTTATTTGAGGGTTCATGCAAAATACCAGATAATGTTGGTACTTACTAGAGGAGATTGAGATTTCATTACCCTAAAAACCCAAATTTATTGAGAATCAAGCCACAATGTTTTGTAGTCTGAATTTTTAATCGCTATCGTTTTCATTAGTATGGCATATAATTATTTAATTTGATATAAATGGGTTTTAAATGTTGTTGTGACTATAGAATGTGTCAGAATAAGAGTCTTTATTTCTTTCTTCTTAATTAAAATAATGTGCTTAAATAATATTGTTTATAATGTTGTAATAAGTAAATAAATGATAACTTATAAATATTTGGGTGTGATTTAATGACTTGGTGAATTAAAAATATGATATGCCAAACACTTTTAATTTAAACTGTTTAAATTTTTTTAAATAGCAATTGATTTTGGTCAGTACCAATTGAATAATTTGCAAATTTATATAAATATACATATTAAAATTGAGTACCTATTGTACTTTACAATATTTCAAGTGTGTGTGATGAATATTTATTATATCAATAATTGTCTAACATTTTTGATAATAATCAAACTTTACAAACCTGTACTAGCCTAGCCTTTACCAAAAGTAAGTAAGTGGTATAGTCGAGATTATTAAATTGGTGAGGCAAGAGGGAGTATCAGACTCTTACTGAATAAAACTAACATTCCTACCCCTGCACTTCGAGCCGGAGCCCCGGCAACCCTTCGTGGCTAACACAAACACACAAACTTTCACATTTATAATTTATAATTAGTACGATTATAAGTAGCAGCTGACAATATTACCTAAATTAAACATCTTTATTTGTTTAAGGTAGAAGATGAATGTAGAACAGAAGGCTACTGTCAATCCAGTGGTCTTCTGCGAAGAGGGAAGAAATTGGAAGACAACAATAACATAACCAAAGAGGAGGAGGAGTATATCAATTACCGACAACTCCTCAAATATGAACAGGCACCAGAATATATTAAACACAATCAATACATAAGAGATGGATATAGAAAATTATTGCCCACAAAACTATGCTGGGAAAGGTAAATATTAACTTTATTTTTTATGTTTAATTGTACCGCTGAATAGTAATTGGACCCCCAATTATACTTTTGCATTGCATAATATTAAAGACATTCATGAATATAATATTTTAGCTATTGGTGTGAATCTTAATCTGCGCATAACGGATATTACAAAACTACTGGACGCCATGCTGTTTTGGTATATTCAGACGGCACTGTAACTACCGAAAGACTTAGGTATATAGTGGCAAAATACCTTTTTTTAAATTTAAAGAGAATCCCCTTTGAAAAAATTTGTTGTTGTCTGCTCTGTAGCGTTTACTGTCTAGTTTTCTTGTGGAATCCGGTGGAGTGAGTGAACATACTTATTCGGGATTTGGATTCCGGATAATCTACCGGTCCGACAGTGTGAACAGAGTCTTAGTTACCCTTCACGTTAGAATACAAATCACTGCTCCCTGACCTGACAACTGAGTAATATTTGTGTGTGAGTGGCAAATTAAATTATAGTGCGTTCTTTGCTTGGTACAAAACATTTCACAATTACGTTTTCTAATAGTTATAACTTTATAAGTACCTAAAGTAACTATCTTAGCTGCTCTCGCGCGGTTTCACCATTGGTCGGTCCCTATTGGTCGCCTCAGCTTCGCACGGGTGCAATACGTATGATTTATACATATAAACCTTCCTTAAAAATCATTCTATCATAAGATCATTTCTATTCTATTGTAGTTTTAAAGATTTAAGCATACATAGGGACAGACAGACGGCGGATAGCTACTTTGTTTTATACTATGTAGTAATATGTAGTGATAGTCGACCCCGATAAATGCACCATCTATAAAAAAAAGATTTATTCAAATCGGAGCAGTAGTTCCAGAGATTAGCGCTTTGAAATTGACAAATAAACAACCTCTTCAGCTTTGTATATTAAGTAAGTATACAGATTCTACCTGAGTACCTGTAACACAAGAGTCAAGAGGTAATGATAGGTAGGTAGGTAAGTGCTTAGACAGTCATTGCCATTTTCTCTATTATTTATCTTGTCATTACCAGTGACTGAGATGAACTCAAGTTATAACGAAACCTGTAAATAATGTGGCAGTTATCTATAGTTGTACATACCTATGTTTACAACAATATTGCTACACTGTGAAGGTTGGGTACTTGGTGTTAGTAACGATGCTAGCTAGTTAAGAAATAGTGCGATAGTTTTTGTAACAGTAATAAGACCTCGCTGTTTATTGATTCATTGTTACGGATTTATTATAGGTAATCCTATTTCTCAGATAGTCCCTATGAATATATTTTTAAAAGGATCCACGGACGAAACACAACGCCAGCGTTGTTTCACGTCGGTTTTCTGTGAGGCTGTGGTATCACTATAATATGTGCCAAAAAGCATGACTTTCCCACTTGTTTAAGGAGCTCTTCTTCCAAAGGCCGGCAACGCGTTTGCAATTCTTTACGTAATCTATTCTATAATTATGATCGTTTGCCCCCTCAAACGAAACAAAAATATTTAGAAGCTAGAACTAAGGTGAGAATGGCAAATAAGTTTTAGTTGACCCACCGGTAACCTCACTCACACGACGAAAGACCACGCAAGCGTTGTTTCACGTTGGTTTTCTGTGAGGCGGTGGTATCGCGTCGGTCGAGCCGGCCCATTCGTGCCGAAGCATGGCTCTACCACACTCAAAATTTCATGGTGTGATACTGATATCACCGGAATGATACCTATTTAGTATCAATTACTAAAGTTAAGTGCGGCATCTCCTCTACCTTCATATGTTATGAATATGATTATATGATATAAATATTCGGCATAGGTACAATGCCCTGAATTCTTCCGACTTTGCGTTAGCTGCATATCGTCTTCTTCATTATTTCATTTATTTTGCCAGTTCCGTTTGACGTCATATTCAACTGAACAATAGTGTTTGTCAATATCCTCGCTTGTAGTTTGATAGAGCCCTTCTCATAATCACGTAATTCAATGAATGGAGGTTGCTAAACTTCAAAATCTTATGAATAAAGAAAAAATACCAGGAATTACCTATAATACTTATGACAGAGGTCGAGTTTTAAAATGGTTAGTTGATTTGGGTTTTTCATAGCGATCTAGGTAGGTACCTACATGTTAGATAATAAATTGTGACCGTTTTCAAGGTATTCTAATCATGTTATTGAAAAGGTAGAGGTTACATATTTGGCGACCTTCCTATAAATTATAATGAACCATCTAGATGATCTAGATATTTCTGCAAGGATGTATTGAGTATAAGTTTTCAATTTGATTAGACGTAGGCGATACAAAAATTTAAACCATACTTTTCCCTACGTAATAAATGGTCAAAACAGATATACCATACCAAGTACATAAGTATTATATTGTGATAGTATCAAAGTACGTAGCCGTGGAAATCAGAGTGTAACTGTATAATGATGTTTCATATTGCAGCAAATGTGCAATCTAGACAGTGTTACCACCAGTCATTATTAGGTACATAGTAACATGTAGGTTCAGAATAAAGGGTGTTATCATAGGGAAATAATTTTCTGCAATCACATAGTCCTACTAACCTAAACATGAATTTCTAGCAGATACCTAGACACCTGAGCTACAATAAAATTATAATCGTCACCGGTTTAAACCGGTTACATTAATCTAATATTGATTAGATTTTTATTACCACAAGCTCTCCTTATAGGACTTAGGTAAAGTTTAACTAGACTATTGAAAATGAGTGAGAGTAGCTACTTAGCCATGTTTATTAAGGAACAAAGTAATAATTTGTAACAGATCCTTGATATTCTACGTACTTAGAACATCAAAAAGCATAGTACAGATTTATATATTCACACAATGAAATAAATGTTTGACCGACCTCCTAACCCGTCAAAAATGTTCTATTATGCAATGCAAATACTGTCACGTTAAGTGGCTTCCTCGTTCCAAATATGATCGAATTTTAATTTTGTTTTAGCATATTCTGGTGGACGAATGAGACTATGAACATATGGACACACATATTCGGTTTCTTCTTGCTATTGTTCCTGACCATCAATGACTTGGTGATCATAAACATCCACGCGACGGTCACAGACAAGATCGTCGCTGGCTTATTGTTCTCTTGTTTTCTGGTAAGTGTATACTAATTGCTTTATACGTCATGCCTATCGGTTATCGAACGGTAAAAAAACAACGCATAGAACTTGATGCCTTCTGTCCCTAAACGGGTAGTTTAAGGTTTTATTAACATTAAGTATTTTAGCCCGTAAGATGAGGTGAGTTTATTTCCGTATATCGGATACTATTGTAGACTCCATTTCATTACTGAGAATTTCTGAACACCGGACCACACGACTGGAGCGTGTAAATGCCCGTAATATTTTTTTTTGGGTGGTCAATGTTTTGGAGTCAGATATTTCAATATTCGTTATTGAGGTTGCCAATAAACAGTCTTTAGCTACGGCTGCACATTCATATTACGAACGCATTTTAGAGCATACGTAGTCCGGATCTTTATAATTTTTTGCAGAATTTAATAGAAATACAGTACCTGTATTCGTGTATGCTGTCAAGAAATTCAAATTACTTTAATTATTTATTATTCAGCATTAATTATCATTTTAATCGTTGAATTTAACGCTAGAAGGAAGCATTACTTTGTACTTACGTCGCTGAAGTCAGTCCTAAAGCGTATCATAAGTACGTGGTATTGAAATTATCATTCCTAATTACTGTTGTGCGTCATTCAAAGCGCAAAAATTGTGTTTACTTAGACGAAACGAGGTTTGTTGCCCTCTCCTTGCGGCTACTACGATCTTAGTACTGGCAGACTTGCGATGATACGAGTATCGCCTCGTAATATAATATTTCCATGTCCAACGTGACGTGGCTATTACGAAATGAGCTCTACACCATTGGTCGTCGGTCGACGTCTTGAAAGTTTACTGCTCAGATGTTCGACCCGCTTTTCTCCCGTTAGTGAAAGTACAAAATTATAAAAAAGAGCGTTAATGACTACAGTGCAAAGTATACTGGGTAGGTACTGGTGCAAAAAGTTTGCTTTTGTTTTGATTGGTAAACAATGCTAATGTGAATGTGACTTAAGCGTCAGTAGTTTGTTCACCCATATTTAAAAATTCTGAGATTGAATTGATAACTTGAATTTGGATCTTTCAAAATAATCATTTCAGTAATAAAAACAAATTATTATATTGCATGCAGTTACGTTAATACCGCCAAAAACGTCAAACCCAGCTCATGTATAGTACTTATATCAACTGCTTCAGCAAAATCTTTGTGTAAAATACCTACTCATAAATGTAACTAAAACAATTATTCTAATCCATATACAGCGTTCGTGTTCAAATACCTTGAAGTAAATTGTACCTAAGTTTGTATGACTTAAAATTAATTTTACATTGTTTAGAACTTTCGAAGTTGGTTGATACATGCCGGAGATTGTCGGTAATCAGTCTCGTGGCCACTTATGGAATGCTTTCACTGTCAACATTGTACGAGATTTAGACGGATAGATATTCTAGAGGTACTATATTCATAATTCGAAAATAAACGTAGATTATTCAGATATTTAAATGCGCAGGTACAGGCTGAATGTAAATATTCAATTTGTTCCAAATATAAATTGTTTTTTTTTCCATTTATAACTATTAAAGCGTATTATATTTTTGTTAATGTATTGTATGCAAATAGTTTCAGATGTTAAATTAAAAATTATTTTCTTATAGTAGATAGGGTTCGTGAAAGTAAAAGGTTATCCATCTTTCATTGAGAGGTCATTCATTGAAACAGGTTGCTATTGTGCCAATAAACGACGGGCCATTGGATGGGCAATCTCACTGTTTACCATTGGTTTTATGTGGGCATGGTATTGTACCTACGTAGCTTTATTCAACATTTTATAGCGGTTTTAACTCTAAAATTACAAAGTTCTTTGAAAAGAAAACAAGTTTATGGATACAAATGCAAATGGCGGGCAATTGAATTCAAATTAAGAATGAGAAACCGTCAAATAAACAGTTAAAGAACGCCAACGACAATCAACAATATTTTTTTATAGTTTTGTACAACATTCATTCATGTTCAAGTATCAAAGTGTTGGCATTTGTAGTCATAAAGTTGTAAATTGTCCGTGGTTAGTGTTGCACCGATGTTGATGTTGCAATTCCAACGAGGTTGTAAATAGTGGCGCGATGTTCGTAGTGGGGGTAAGCAGAAGAGTCACTCTGTGTGCTCATTTTGACACAAAAACTGGTTGTGTTTGATAACTACGCCTAATTTGGTATTCTGAGATAGGTATGTCAAATAGAATGAGATGAGTATTGTTTGTTTTAGATTTCGAAGAGTTTGCGTATTTCACGTTAACCTTTTAAATAATGGTCTTGGCACACTGCTGCGGTGGAATTCGCATAAATCCTGAGCTAAAAAACTTCGATTTTATTCACGTTGTTCTTTCTCTATGTGATACGAAGCCATTTCTGACCGTGGGACAGCTGTAATGGTTTTGTCGTCAAAGCTTTTGAGACTTTTCAATCAAATGCATTTCGAATTAAGTAGGTACTTACCTTTTAAGAAAATATAAATTTATACGCAATCGTATCGTCGTATTCCTTAATGATTTTCTTAAACCTTGTGTTGACATTGTTGTATTGACAACGCAGACTTACTCGGAGTTACATGCATCAGACGCAATATGACAAGACCATTGATTTTCAATTGCAAGAAAGTGCACGTGTACTCATTGAATGAAACCATTATTGTTATATCGATTTTCTTTCCAAGTATTCTTAACATTTAATTATTTAATGTTCTAACGGTTGGCATCTATGACCTTATGACGTCATTTAGTTATGTAATTACTTATGTTGGTAACTTGGTACCATGCTGCTCTCTTCAATGATTTGTGAACCGGTTTGCAAAATTACGTATTTTATAATGTTTTGGTCCTATTTTTAAAATTAAACAAGGTCATGTTATTTGATCTTGTATGTTAACTATTTCGTTGTAGTATTTCCGCGTAAATTCTAAATTAGCACAAATCAAATGCGTATCTATGCATATGAGGGAATAATAACATTGAAGTGAACATTTGTGGAATTTCATAAGGTCAATATTAAGGTCAGTCAATAAACTTGGAATTTGGAAGTTAAAATTATAATCTTAAGGACATCACATATTTGGTTTTATAATAATTTCCAGAATTTTTCTGATTAGCTTAAATAAGTAATCGTGTAATCGAATTCCAATAGTTTGGCAAACAAACACTAAAGACAACAGCTACATAGACTCTGTTTTAAAGTACTTAGATTTCAATTTTATGATAGTTGTGTGGACTGTAACTTCTGTCTATTTAAGGTTTGATCCCCAACAATGTCACGAAGTGTGATGCCTGATAGTTTTCATTTAGTTAGGTTTCTTCACCTTCTAGATCTGAATATAATTTTCTTCTGCTTTTTATAATTTGTAGGTCAGTGTTTGATAATGCTTGGCGTGATGTTGTGGTGATTATGAGATTTGTCAAAAGTATTCTGTGTTTACTGAGTCGCTTACTCATTTTGGAATGTCGTGTGTTGAAATGGTAATTGAAGTACCATATTTGAATTTGTGCCATATTTCTTAGTTAGTTAGAATTCTTCTTAGAAATAGGATGTTTCTTTGTGATTACTTTTCTAATAGGATATTGCATAATAGAACGAGTAAAAACGCGGAAAACCTTATCTGCCCTTTCAATGACACTAGAAACTAAAGAGGTATTTTAGTATTTCATATATATTTTTTTACTTTTCCAGATATGCATGGCGCTGTCAGCCCTCTACCACACGTTCTCTTGCCGGTCAGAGCACGATTACAACACGTTCCTCATGTACGACCTCTTTGGAATCGCGCTCTCCTTACTGGCCATCTACACTTCCGGTGTTTATTACGCGTTCTGGTGTCATTCTGTAAGTTTTTAAATTTTACTCTATGGTTTGTGGAAGCGAGTATTGTACGAGGCGCGGCGCCATATTGCAATTTATGAGATCGCGTGCTTTTACATCGTGTAAAGGAAATGTTCGTATCTGATACGAGAGAATTAGCAGTTTAAGATTAAAGATTAGTGCATAAACGTACAATATTAAGTGCATGACTAATCCCCGATCTTTATATATGTGTTCCTTATGGTTCCTCTACAATGATCAAGGTTTTCCTAAAAGGGTCATTAAATCCTTTACCCTCCTGAATACCATATGAGACACAATAGAATATAGATCGTGTCTCACGTAGATATACGTACGGCGTACCACGGATTAAACCTCGAGATTACTTTGCATATCTTTTTTAATTATGAATTTAATTTAGACGATAACAGCTTGATAAATCGTTTATTAAACACAAACGGAAACAAAACAGGCAAACGAATTTCTTATCACTCATGAACAATACTTTGCTTTAATTAACAATAGCATAAGCAATCACAATAAAATTCTTAATCGTCACGTTTGATGATCATTAGCAGTTGTGTTTCATAAAAAAAATTAAAGTAAGATAGCAACATTCGCTTTCTAATCTCTCAGATATGAACGTATAGTGTCGAGAGTTATTCTAGGCGTTAATCAGCGACACTTGATGTATGGTTCCTATACAACTTACAGTAAAAGAGAAAGTACAATTTGTACAGTCTATACGAAAATATCACAAAACCTGTGCGTATTTGAACTTAACTTGCCATACTTTCACTGAAGCAACATCTCATTTGATGTAATTTTTGCCGTAACCCACATTTTCTACTCCTTATTTTTCGATTGAGTGCATTTTAAATAGACTGAGAATAATTGCTTTTGTAATGATCTTGTTGTGGCTTCTTACTAGGGCAATATAACGAGAAAGAGCATACTGAAGCTCGTGTATGACTGTGTTTTATTTTTGTACTTGTGTTTTGGTATAGTATTGATTTATTGAGCTCAGGGGCGCACGTCCACTATTAAAGGGTTTATGTCTAGCAGTAGATCAATATAGGTTGATTGTAATGAAAAATCTTATCAAATAATCTGATGGAACTCACAATATTTGCAACATCTTTCCTCATATCCCAAAAGTACATATGATCAAGGTGAATGAGTGACCAGTAAGTATGGTAGACCTCATCATTTAGTCCACTGTAAGCCAGGCAGTAGTAAATTCTTTTATAACGTACCGGTTTATCTTGACGCATAAAATGAAAGTAACGACGTTTTTTGCTGCTTTTTGCTTACTGTGTCATTATAATCATATTCATTGTTGTATCTACTTGTGCTGTTTGTTTCGAAGTCTTTAAGTAGACTTTATGTATGATACAAATGATTAGTAGAAAAATCTGAAACCAAGGTCGTTTGAATCGTTATTCTAATTATCAACAACCAGTCATTAATTTTCATAGTATGGAACGCCAAATGCCTGCTCTACGTTATCAGACTTCTCCATAATTGCTCGCCGATAAACAGCACTCTTATTTTGACCCTTTTGGTGTCATTAGAAAATTATACAAAGACTTAGATAGAGATAATATTCATTCAGTTAACAGTACAATACAATCTAATTTATTCTGCAAAACAACGTCTCAGTTCAAAACTTTAAAAACACTTTAGTAGAATTGGCTAGTTTCCTAGGTTTAAAATAAATTGTTTAAACTTTTCAATGCATTAAACAATTAAAAAATAATCATACTCTTATCCATTGATTTGACAATTTACCTACTTTTGGATTAATTCACGCTAATTTTTAAGAAATAAGTATGTCATTTGACGCAGAAATCTGATTACGTCATAAGATGCGATCCAATATAAAATTCATAAAAAAAGTATCGTTTTTGACATTTCAATAAAAGTATTGAATTTGACTACCTGTCAACTACGGTTATTGGAAGTAACTACCTATCGTAAGAACGTAAATAGGTTTCCATCACTTTTACCTATTTAAGCAAATCACAGCGTGTCTTATGGCTTCCTTATTGAAAGTCATACAGTATATTTTTTAATTGTTTCATTATGTAAGGTTTCATAAAATAAAACCTATTCATTATTAAGACACGGTATCACACGCGATTGTATGGCTCTGGCGTAGATATAATTGCTTATGTAATTACCGTATCATTATGTCTATTGTATGTGTGTGCGTGTGCTGTCTTATTTCTGCCATATCTAGTCTTTCTATGGCGACGTATTTTTAATGGTCGTTTTGTTACAAAAACTCGGGGTTAAGATAGTGATGTTCTTTCTCGGAAAGTTTGTTATCGATTTCTTTAACGCGGGCGATTTAATACTATGAGATTTTAGAACACGTTGTTTAGAAATAAATTCAAATACAGTTAGATACGTACAATTTTTAGACACTGAAATCGATTAAGTGTGGGAGAGCCATGCTTCGGCACGAATGGGCCGGCTCGACCGGAGTGATACCACGGCCTCACAGAAAACAGACGTGAAACAACGCTTGCGTTGTGTGAGTGAGGTTACCTGAGGCCCAATTACCCCCTTCCCCAGTCTCCCCAATCCCCGAATGCTCTACAATCCCCAAACTCCTAATTCCCAAAAGGCCGGTAACGCACTTGTAATGCCTCTGGTGTTTCGGGTGTCCATTGGCGACGCCGATTGCTTACCATCAGGTGATCTGCATGCCCGTTTACAGGCTTATCTCATAAAAAAATGATTACCAAACTTCGAGTCCTTTCCAAAACATAATATAAGAATAATTAACATTCAAATCACGTATCAATTCAATTAAAAAGTGTGAACGCAATCTAATTTATTCATGTTCCAAGATTGTTCTAGAATACAACCGTAGTAGTAGTAACGAGTTCATTGTATAGGCAGACCTGTCTTGATATTAACCTCTTGTCTATCGATATATGAGACATGAGACAAAATAGAAAACACATTGTCTTGCGTAGATTTGCGTTCGACACCTCACAGGTTAATAGACTATGACTTGCATTATGGTTGGAGTAAAATATGTAGAAACGCATAACATTTAAAATAGGAGTTGACATTTCATAGGTTAGTCACAAAGTCCATAATCCATGCGAGAAAAGCCGCGGGCATCAGCTAGTCTCTGGATAACAGTGTAACGCGAACTCTCAAACGACTGTATCTTTCTTTTTCATATTTATTATCATCGGGGCAAGGTTTATGTGACAAAAAATATGTATCTTTTTATGGAATATATACGCATACGAGAAAACAAGGAAATCCCGAACCTGTTTCTAGTTTCACTCTAATAGGGTAGATGCCTAATTTTTATTTTAATGTTCGTCTGGTAGATTATTTTAAATCATTAGACACGTATTTTTTATTTTTTTACAGTAACGAATACACTTTCGACTATATATTGATTTGAAATGTCGCGTGACGTCACTTATATGTACACTTTATACGTAGAAATGACGTTTTAGCCCCCACTCCTAAACTTTGATTCGTTTTATCTAAGTATCATTTTATTATACATCAAAATAAAAATATATGTGTTTAATATTTTTTCATTACCTAACTGACGGACTAATAAGATTTTTAATTTTCATACCCCGACATCATCACAATTTAAACAATCTAGAAGCGTCTTATTATATTACAAATACATTTGCAATTTTTCATTTCAATCTGGACTTACCACTGACGTAAATTCAGATCGTGATCATAATGAATTAATGATTTATTGTTAATATGCTAACATTCTTTTCATTTCGTAAATATCTTAAGGTCAAGTCCGTGGTCAGGTACGCAGGACACACTGCGCGAGTCAATGAGTCCTCTATGCATGCATATAGGGTTCGTCCGTCTGCCTGTTGTAACATTTGTTGCAAAACAAAGCGCCAACGACCTTGTCATACCATCCGAGTTGTTTTACTCGAATTTAAATCGATGTTTAAGTGTGATTGTATTAATTACATTAGATGTGATAATTTAGTGGACCTCCCATGTAGGATGTATGCTTATTGAATGATAGATTAGGTTTGTGTATGTTTTAGATCAGACAAAAGCGTTTATGAGACTAGTAAGATATATGTAGACAATACATTTAATTGCTTTCTACAGGCTGTAAACGAAACGTTCCTGAAAAAGGCCGACAGATGATGGTAAAAAAAGTTTTATTTTCATATAACATAATATAACATCACGCCTTTTTATCCCCGAAGGGGTAGGCAGAGGTGCACGTTTCGGCACTTAATGCCACTGTACGATGTAACACCCACTTTTCACTATTTATGTTATGAGTCCCATGTAATAGGGGGTGAGCCTATATTTTCACATAAGTAAGGAATTATGTTTCTTTTGTGTAATCATAGTTGTAATCAACTGCTCAATGCTTATGTTGCATGAATAACACGAAAATAAGAAATAAAAACGATTAAAAACCAATTTCATTTTGTTTCGGAAGCGTTCTGTTTACCCTGTATGGTTTTACTATTAATAGGTAGGTAGGCTTTGATAATTACAATTACAATTAGTATTTGACTTTAATAAAATAGTATGCCTAGTAGAAATTATAAAGCTACCTTAGCTAGCCATAGATTGGTTAATAGTATTTCTACTGTCACTTCATAAATAATAACAAAGAGATATATTTTGTAAGTTTTTGTGGCCATTATTATTATTAACGTGAAGTATCTCATAAGTAGGTACAAAGGTGTAAAACACTCTTTACGAATGACATAATTCAAGCGTAAATATGTGGGTTTTTTGCGCACTCTGTACATACTTTGAGGATATAATAATAATTACAAAAGAAATTAACAAAGGCGTAATTACCTACATAATATTATTACTCTACTACAAACAGGGTGTAATAATTTTATTATGATATGTAATAATTATTTACGTAATAGTCCAAAAACAATTCAGATTTCGTGATTTGAAGCTGCGATGCGATGAACTTGTAATTCTGTCTCCTTCTCCTCTGAGATTGCGGGTGTCGATGGGGGGCGGACTTGCTAGGTTCTGCTGTAACTTCAAATTCAAAAGATCAATGTGAATTAGACATCGATGTCATTGTTGTGAGATTAATCTCGGCCAATCACGGGCGAGATTGCGATTGAGCTCATTTTGAAAATTCGAAATGACAGTTACAGTATAGACTAGCTGGATCGGTAGCCACCGAGTGCCTAATTGGTCTGGTGGCGTATTATGACGTCCCGCTGAGGGAACGAGATCTCGCTAGATGACTTGTATAGCTCTGTTTCTTTCCCTCAATCGAACCATTCTGATTTTAAAACGTCTTAATAACCCCGCTGTTCGTTTGCCCCCTATTCTATAAATGAAAGTTGACAAATCTAAAATAATCTTTGGCACACATAAAATTATTAATATAGGTGCTTATACTCAGGAGTGGCGAACCTTTATGCAAATTATAGTGAAACCTGATGATGGAATGAGTAAATAATACTGAAAGAAGTCGTACAATACGTCATGTTTAGAGAAATCTGTTACTTTTTACATAAGGACACCATTGCAATAATAATTGCTTTGACAAATAATTGCATTGAGGTATTCAGTTGTCAGCACACTTGTATTTGTGGCTATGACCACAAATACAAGTGTGGTCATAGCCACAAATACAAGTGTGATGACATGTATACCTAGTTTTAAGTAAAACTCAATACTTGAATACTGAACAGTTTATTCTAAACGGATTTAATAAGAGCACAATGTGATGCTCATCAAAATTCTCACCAGAATCGCGCGTTTGACTTTTTGCGCGAGAAACTTTTCTATCTGTCACATTTGACAGATGACATCGTAAACGTGACAGCTAGTGCTGTCGATAATACAGATTAAACTAGAGACGTTCCTTTAGTTGATTTTCGTCGTATAACACTACTAAACTGCCTTTTTGTTCCTTAAAGGAGTATGAAATCATATTAAAAATTACAGTTACTTTGACCAGCTATTTTATAATTCTGGTCGATTGCCATAAAATTGCTATAAGGCCCAGTTCCTACTACGTGATACAATTCTAAAATAGAGACAATAATACATTTATGTACTTAACTGTTCTACTGGATTTTTATACGAACTTGTTGCTTATCTATGTATATAAAAGGAAGTCGTGTTAGTTACACCACTTATAACTCAAGAACGGCAGAATAGATTTGGCTGAAAATTGGTAGGGAGGTAGCTTAGAGCCAGGAGACCGACATAGAATACTTTTTAACAATTTTTTTTTTACTTTTTACCGAAAATCACGAACGGGGATGGGAAAAAATGGGATTACGCGTGCGAAGTCGCGTGAAGAAGCTAGTTTTTTAATAATCAAAGTTTCCGATACTAAAGCCAAATAACCCGGTCAACGACCAGTGCAATAACCTTAGTTTACAAACCAGCCAGGTTCATTACCTGAAACACAAAGATGCCTCAAATTACTCATTATGTGGTAATCTAAGCTAAGTGTGTAAGTAGTTCTGAAAACAAAGAAAGTATGTATTTCTTTTATCGTAGCTATATATTGTTCTTAGTATTGGTAGACAGGAATGGAAAATTATTGGTTTTTGTTGCATCTTCGGGTCGACCACGTGTGTTTTACATACCTATATCTTCATATAAGTGTATTTTGTTTTAGAAACTACCATTTTTTATAGAATACGATTAGACGGATCACCTGATGGTAAGCAATCGGCGCCGCACATGGACACCCAAAACACTAGAGGTGTTATAGGTGCGTTACCGGCCTTTTGAGGATTAGGAGTTTAAGGATTCTCCGGGGTTGGTCTACTAAAAGGACCCGGTGCCTCTTTTAGGTGCGGACGGTGGCCACCGGGGAGGTTTTAGTGAGGTAAAAATCCCACACTCCCTAGTCTTTTTTTCCCCAAAAAAGCTAGGCGTCTTCTGAAGGTTTCCCCTCTGTCAACAAAAAAAAAAGGAGTTTAAGGATTGTTGAGGATTCGGGGATTGAGGAGATTTGGGAATGGGGTAATTGGGCCTCCGGTAACCTCACTCACACGACGAAACACAACGCAAGTGTTGTTTCACGACTGTTTTCTGTAAGGCCGTGGTATCACTCCGGTCGAGCCGGCCCATTCGTGCCGAAGCATGGCTCTCCCACACTTAATACTTTTAGTTCTTAAAAACTTATAACTTTTATTTATTATATTACAGGAACTAAAAACGTTCTACATGACATCGGTGACCGTAATCTTCGTGGTGGCGATGGTGCTGCAGATCCCTCGGCTAGGGGTGCCGTACCTCGTGAAGATGTGCGTGTTCATCGGCTGGGCAGCCTACGGAGTGTTGCCTACGCTGCACTGGACGTATACTATGGGGGGATTCGACAACCCTATGGTGCAGGTCAGTGACCTTTCTACAAATCTTTTCACGTATGATCCTAGCCTATTATGATAAAGACTCGGTCGAAGACCACAAGTAGACAAAGATTTGTCCAAATCTAATGAACTATTTGGTATAGCTAGATACAAAATGTACATTTATAGCCACATAACATAACATCACACCTTTTTATCCCCGAAAGGGTAGGCAGACGTGCACATTATTCATTATACGGCACTTAATGCTACTGTACAATGTAACATCCACTTTTTAGTATTTATGTTATGAGTCCCATGTAATAGGGGGTGAACCTATTGCCATATACCGAGAACAATTCGAGAGTCCGTGCTACCACGGTGACGACATTTTGCGTTTGATGACTCTGTAAAAAGAAGGTCTTTATTTAGCAGTGGAAGTATTTTAGCTGACAGCTGATTTTAATGATAAAATGTAATGACTTTGTTCCAGATGTTCTTCCCAAGGGTGATTGGGATGTATGTGATAAGTGGAACTGCCTTCGTGATATACGCCTTTAAGGTATGTATACTTATATTATATACTAATCGTCGGCGGTATTTCCGAACCGATACGACCATCAAACCTTCAAGAAAAGAGCGTATTCCTTTTTAAAAGGCCGGCAACGCACCTGTGACTCCTCTGGTGTTGCGGGTGACCATGGACGGCACTGATCGCTTACCATCAGGTGATCCGTCTGCTCGTTTGCCTCTTATTCCATAAAAAAATACTACAATCTTTCCACCCGCGGCTTCAGCCGTCGGTTTAAAGTAAAAAGTAGGCTCCCAACAGCCTTTTAACTACCTCCAGATATAAAATCATACTACAAAACATCCCTTTACGACGTGAAGGACAAACAAACTGACATAACTGCACGGTTGGTGCAGTGGCTGGGCAACCGGCTGCCGTGCAACGTGTCGCTGGTTCGATTCCCGCACGGAAAACACTTTGTGTGATCCACAAATTGTTGGTTCGGGTCTGGGTGTCATGTGTATGTAAACGTGTATGTTTGTAAACGCACCCACGCCACAGGAGAAAATCCTAGTGGGGGCAACGTTTTTTAAAAAAAAAACCACGGGCACGTTTCCGCGATAAAAATAATAGGAAGGGTTAGTTTCAGTGCCTATAGCCAAACGCCACTTTAGCGCTTGTCTACAGAGAGAGTAGACAACTAAATATATGGGGATGGCACTGACAAGTGTCTAAATTTACGTCAATCTATATCTATACTTCTATACTAATATTATAAAGAGGAAAGATTTGTACCTATTTTTGTATGTTTGTAATGAATAGGCTCAAAAAGTACTGGGCCGTACTTTTTGGCCGTAAAAATCTTTCACCAATAGAATGCTACATTCTTCCAATTTCACATAAGCTACATTTCATTTTGAAAAAAATTTGGGATCCTTGGTAAAATTTGAACAATATAGCCGAAGGTATAGAAAAATAAGTCTTAAAATGTCTTTCGTCGAATGCGCTGCCGGAACTAGTAGCATATGTCCAACTATTGTAGTTATGTCACTACAACAATCCAAATTTCCAAAAATAAATAATTGTCTACCCCGTACGAAGCCGGGACGGGCTGCTAGTCCCATATAATTTAGTTTTCTACTCTACAAGTAGACAAGCGCTAAATGGCATTTGGCTACAGCGGCTGGTGCGACGATGTTTCTATTTCAAAATTTATTTCATTTACACTTTAAACTTCCTAGATAATATAATTAAGTTGGTTAGATTGTAAACCAGGAATGTAGAATAGTTTATAAGGTCATTATTGTATTAATTGTATGCTAAAATTGTACGACGCTGGAACATTGAGGTTGTATGCTAATTTTTATTGAATTCCTGTCGAATGACGGACGACATTAATCTGAATAATTTCGTCATTGTTGTTTGTAGGTACAGATAATTATTCAATATTACTTCGTTTTGATGATTGAATTATGACAATATAATTGATACATACATATTATTACATACATAACTTCACGCCTGTCTCCCATGGGGGTAGGCAGAGACTATGGAACGCCAATTGCTACGATACCTACATATCTCTTTCGCTTCATCAACAGTAATTAATCAGTCTTTTCATGCATGCTCGTCGGTAAGGTTACTTTTTATTTGGCCCAGGCATTGGCTCCGGTCAGTATATGCCCATCTTGGGCGCCCTCTACCGACGGCCCCATTCATATCTGCTCTGTATACTTCTTTCGTTACTCTACTTTCATCACTTTCATCCATCCTTTCTACATGTCCAGACCAGCGTAACATTCTTTTTTTCAATCCTTGTCACTACATCATCTTTCAATAACACTATTCTGATTCTTAGATGAGATCGCCCGTCATCGTTGTACACATTGTATATTTTAATAGTCTCCAACGTTTGACGTAGTTAGTATAAGCATGGAAATGTGGATCGTATCTACCTACAATCGTATCTATCTACCTGTAATTGTCACTTATTGACACTTATCCGAAAACTTTCATAGTCAAGACTTACTTACTTCTCTTATTAATGATAAGTCGATATTTTGTTATTTTTTAACGTTTTTCACAAGCACTGCCCTAAAATTGCCATTTCATAAGTAATTTATTTACCCTTTCCTAATTTCCAGGTTCCCGAGCGTTGGTTCCCAGGCAAGATGGACTACATAGGCCACTCCCATCAATGGTGGCATGTGCTGGTATTAGGAGCTCTGTACTACTGGCACAACTCCGGCATGATGTATGTCCAGTACCGTATGAACCATGGCTGTGCTAACACCATGCGGATCTTCTAAACTCCACCTTTAGTAGAAAAGAGTTCCAATTATAAAAAATAGGGATGTTTCTAACTAGTCGAATTTAGCTGTTTCTTTCGATGTATTTCTTGGCAGTTGCATTCTTTGAATTTTTTACAAGAATATTATATTTTGTGCGCCAAGTAACCTTACGTTTTTATCAGAAAAATACAAAAACTAAGTAATTTATGACATAACTTTATGTATGATTTATTTTTCAATGTTTTCCTGTATTGAATAGTCGAAACAATTACTTTTGCCTAAGGAAACATCCCAATTGAGGACCAATGCGAATCCTATGTGGATTGTGCCTTAAACTTGTCTAGGCGAGACCAGGTTTTAAGGAAAATATGCCTTATTTTAAATGCTGTTAAGGCCTTAATACAATAAAACCTCGTTTTAAGTATTTTTAGTAGTTAGGAGGAAATATAAGACGCATGTGTGACAAACAACTGCTCGACATGGCGTTCTTTAAAAGAAACAAAAAAAAAATAGTGAAAATTGAAAAGCTGACATCATTTAAACTCAGTTTAGCAATGGCTACTTTATTTGTATTGCTATAAAGTCTACAATCCGAAAATCTTGTGTAATTACAGTTTGTCATCTTAGTATACACTTACGTGATAATACTCATATGCAGCTCAAGTTTTTGCGTTCCATTATTTATAATTAAAGACTGAAATGGGTCCATTATAGTTTGATTATAAAACGAAGTGTTTTATAACCGGTAACTTCATAAGCAGCTCACGTTTAGCCCTTTGAATCTCATGAAGTTGAATGGTGGAAGAAAACGGTTCATAACATCATTATCTTCCGTTAAAAAAGGGCCTGCATAGCCGTAGGACTTTTCTCCTAAGGACAAAAACTAATTTAATATTGTAAAACAGAACTTGATTCCATTGCATCATGGGTAGTACTTATTTTGTCCATATAGATTCCCTATAAACTGTATTGTATAATCCACAAAGAGACCTGTGGATATATCGTGATGCAATTGAGTCAAGTTCGCCCATAATGTCACAAATTAATGACAATTTTTATGACTAAACAGATCTGATTTACTTACATTGTTATAAAAAATATGAGACTAATTTTAACTAGTTTAATTTTGAAGTTTAATTACATTTTTATTAAGTAATGGCGAAATAAACGTAATTATGAATGTAAGTTCGTTATTTTTTTTACTCTTTGACATCTGTGATTCAATTGAAAACACGTTTACGTTTTTAATTGTACCTAATTATACTTTATTTATATTGTTTTAAGCTATTGTTATTATTAATTTTATATTCTATGGGTTGGTAGCTGGGTTTTGTAAGATGGAACATAAATGATTTTAAATGGATATTGGTGTTTTATTTAAAGTATCATTAGATAGTCACTTGTGCTTGTTGCTGATCATTCATATTTTATGAAATTATATTTTTGTTTGTATTTCCTGATATTAAAGTTTTTAATACGTCGAAACAATACAAACAAGTTTGTTCGTCTCATTCGACTTTACCGAATAACTTGCAAACTGTGTTTATTGCCATCTAGTGAGCAATAGCAGAAACTTCATAATTCACCTTTGTAAGCGAAAATGTATGGTTTTGCTATTAGGCAATAGATGGCGCTGGTAGGAAACAAAACTATTTTAAGGCCGTTTTATTTTGAGAGTAAATACAAACACATTTACTGCATAATATTATTCTATAACAAATGCTATTTTAAATTTTATTAATTTTGATCATTGAATAATAGTGACAATATTCATTTTGTATAAAAGTTTTTAACATATTGATGCGAAAATTGCAATCCTGGGTTCGACTTCCGGAAGTACCTAAATTCTAACATAAACGTAAGATTTTTCGGAGTAACCAGATTAGGTTGTGTTGAAGAATTTAATTTAGTGTATCTAATAGATTATTTAATTTATATTTAGTGTTTTAGTTAAGAAGATGAAACTTATGTAACGAGATAGTAAAATAATGTAGGGAATTTAAGTACCTATTTGAGAGTTTTTACCTGTCTGTTAAAATATTAAATAGGTTAGGACAATAAAAGTGCGTGAAACAGAAAAACAAACCCCGGTACAATACAACCAGGTAAGTACCTCCCTTTGTATTACACACCTACTTTAACAACAAAAAAACAACAATAAATCCAAAACGAACTGACAAACAGTAAAAACAAAAACTCATTTCAAATGCCAACAAGCAAACAAACAAAACAATCACATCAATAACTGAAAAATAAAATTGAAAAGCTTTACTCCATCAAACAAAATAGTTATTTCACATATCAGTGAGTACGTATCCTTTTAGTAGTTGCATAAATGGATACTGTCAGCGTACACATTCGCGATCACACACCGAATAAACCGAAAGGTTTCGAAATGGAAAAACAAAAGATAAACGATCCCAATATTTTCATTGCGCCGATGAATGGCTCCAGTGTTGATTCAACGTTGTGGAAAAATGATGCCTACTGTATGTAGTAGGTACTGTACCTACATGTGTGTGTGTATTGTGTATGTACTACGCTTTTTTGTCGTCGCATCCCGTAATCCGTCTGGATGAGAGATTTTTAAAAGATTCGATAGTTAATAAATGAAGCTGTTGTTGATTTTAATTTGTGCAGAATAGCAATTATTATCAGATACGTATAGGTATGGTGTTGGACATTAACTCGTCGAGTACCGGTTTTATAGACACAATTAAAGAACAATAGGTCACGGTCACCGGTGACCGCTTGGTGTTTGTCAGTTTAATTTAAATCAGTGTATAATACTTAATGATCCATGTTACTTAGAGGTATAACCACAATAACTATTGCTTATCTAAATAGGTACTAAGTACTTTCTTGCTAACTATTACTAACTTACCCTTGTTATACTCTTTAGCTTTACCTACATCGTGAATTCTGTGCTTTTTAGTAGTTCATTGTTTCCTCACTTCATATTTTTCATGACTTAGACACAGATAGAATTTTCAAACATTTTGCGTTAGCTATAGACTTCATGTCGAAAATCTATCTATTCGCGATAGCTTATTGAGCTATAAGAAAATGTAACAAGACGTGACGATTGGAGGAATTCAAAGCCTTTAAGTCAGCTGTTAAACAGAGGTCTATTTTTCACCTGACGACCTTTGATTGGCAGTTGCAAAAAGTTGTATGTATGTAATCACTAGTCACAAATTAGCTGGGTCAGTGAGCGACACTAATCGAGCCCCGCGGCACGTCCCGCGGGACAGCGCGCGCGCTGACGGATTGCCGCCCGATTGACGACGACGTCGCCGCCTCGTCGACGTCACGTGTCACTCCCGTTTTGTGTTACATTACTGATAACGTTTTTGATCTTATATCTTCCTCGTAAGGTTACCAATTGGAAGATTTTTTCTTTGTATTGTCTATAACAGACAAATAGATTTATTTTATTCGTCTTTGTCTTTGTCCTTTACCTTCTATTAGGTATCGAAGAAGATATTAAATTTGTTACATAACATAGCATAACATCACGCCTTTAGTCCCCGAAGGGGTAGGCAGAGGTGCACATTACGGCACTTAATGCCACTGTACTTACAATGTAACATCCACTTTTCACTGTTTATGTTATGCGTCCCATGTAGGTACTAGGGGGTGAGCCTATTGCCATGAGAATTTTTTAAAACTAAGTAAAACTTTGCCCGACCCGGGTATCAAACCCGAGATTAAATTTCTTCTTGCTCACGTAAACTATAAGAGAATGCCCGAATAGTTTCGAGCTGCAACGGGACCGATACTCAAGATAGTTATCATTCCAAAAGCGATAATCCCGAGTACCTATTAACTTTGAACAGCTACCTACATTTTGTTTGTGAATGAATGCCAATCAAATTCTTCATAAACTGTAGGTGTACTGACATCTTCATATTTCAAAAGATCCTACTTAAGAGCCAAACACTTGAGGCTATTACACTGAAATTAATGTTATCCCGTAAATTAATAGACTCCACGCGCGATCGATTTATTACGAAACTCTCTGTCTTTAAAAGCAAGTAGGTAAGGAGTTAATTTATCGCATTTTAATATAGGTACCATTTTCTTACTCATTAAGCTCCACCTAAATTAGAATAGAAAACAAACTTTATTTCGGTACTCACACTTTTTCACATAGATATCACATAGACTTACTTAATTGTAGCAAAAATCTAAAAACACCGTTGTAAGTGTATTATCATATTGCAATTATAAGTTATTTTGCTAACATATATAATAGTAAAGCTATTTATAATTTACAACTCGTGTACATTGCGTCAATGACTCTTGTTATAACATTCGCTAATCGCGGTTAAAGCGTCATTATTAGCATAAAACCGACATGCATCGCGGCCATGTCCGCCCACCGGCAGATGCACGATCAACCATTACTCTTTATTGCTTCTCTATGCTAATTTACACTTTTTTTTTTAATTCATCAAAGACTTTTTACTACCGCTTTAAACTATATTTTATTAACAAAAAAAAAATTAGGGCACGCGACAAAATCTCTGGGTGACGAATGCATAAATCATGCGCTTTTTTGTAATCAATTATTATAATTGATGAACCTCGTTTTGCGGGATTAAAACGCTATTTAGAGGTCTTTTAGTTTGTTTTAATTAATGGATGAATGAAAGAACATTTATACGACAAATGGTTTTTAAAGACTTGCTATCATGTAGGATGTAGGTAATGTACTGCGAGCTGCGCCATGCAAATCTTATGTAGCGCATTCCTACGAAATTTACGAAGTTTACGACTGCTCACAAAATGTGGATCGATGACTATTTAATTTGAAATAATGCGTATATTTATCATTAAAGTAGAAAAATTGAAAGAAAAGCCCTGCGGTGTTTTAATTTATTGCGGAAAAAAAAGAACATAAAATTGAGGAAGTATTCCGCCGACAAATTACCACTAACGCTCGTAACTAATTTACTCGGCGTGTTTTAGCCAATAATTCACAATTTGAACATCGCAGTGGGTGTTTGTATAAT